AAAGTAATGTCGAAGTAACATATTGTCGGAATAGCATAGTGTCAGAGGAAAGTAATGTCAGAGTAGCGTAGTGTCTGAGAAAAGTAAGGTCGAAGTAACATATTGTCGGAGTGGCGAATACCCACACATACAGACACACAAACACACTCTCTCTCACACACACACACACACACACACGCACGCACGCACGCGCACACACACACGCACATACACACACACACACAAACACAACTTACGCAATTCGTGTTCCGGTATTCCGTTTGCATGCAAATAGGTACTGATTTGGTTTACTCCTCATTCTGTTATCTCTTCTTTTCCTTTTATTGTTTTATGTAATTACGTAATAGTTATTAAATGCACCTAGTTCATCTATTTCTAGATCGAGTCTCAATACTCAGTACTTGTCTGAGAGTGGGAATCGGAACACTGTAACACAGGGTACCCCCTAGTACAGGTTCTGCACTCTCACAATGTCCCTATATTAGATGAATACTATTGTGATTGGAAATAGATAATTCTTTTTTTTTTAATCTTTGGATTGTAAAAGAATAAGCCCTATAATTCATGAATCAGGTGCAGTTGGAGCTATTGGGGCACCAGTTGCGGCTGCAGAGTTGGAAGGTGGCGATGAGCCAGGACTGGTGACTGTGGATTCTCCTACAGCACCCACTAATGACGTACAAGCATTGCTACATCAGGTCCGTCATATGGTTACTTAATATCCATTTATGTTGTGTTATGTATATAATTATTATTTTCTTTATTTTTGACACATCATACCTACTTTTACCACAGTATTACAGTAGTGCTTTTACTAAGTCAATTTCTAAATCCGCCCTTCCAAGAAGCCTTATTTATCTATTGGTACTTATTATTATTCAATAATAAGCCTCCATCATTTCTCCTTTATGCATACTTCACAGAAAAGTTTAACTGGTTTCTCAACCCCTTAAAATTAAATGCGATATTTGGAATAAAATAAATTTGTTTTATTTCAGACTGCAGAACTGCCGCCCGATTTACGAAGTCGTCTTATGTGTGGACCACTCCAATTTGTTTCGAAGTTTATTTACGTTGAAGAAGAATGGAAGAAATCCTCCAACAATGATGATAGAATTTCCGAGTTACTCAATAAATATAAACGGGAAAATGGTCCGTATTGTTGAATCAACACACATTACCTATTTTTTCTTACAACTTGAGCAATATTATTATCTAACTCTAATGATAAATGTGGTATAGACCCTCAGAATCACAAATACTTCATTGTCACTATTAACAGAAAGGCCGAACGATTACCATGCGGGACTGCCACGCAGAGGTCCCAGGTTCGATTCCCGGACCGGCAGAAATATTTATATGGCCTTTATTTATCTCATGACTTTTGAGTGTCATTTGTGGTTGTCTATGTGTGTGTCCATGGCACCCGCGACACAGGATTTCCGTAGTGCGGGGCTATGTTGAGTGTGTGCTTTATTATTATTATTGAATGGCTTTATGGAATGTTTGATTTACGTTTTGCACATTGTGTATTGGATTAGTAATTTATTGAAAGATAATTTAAAAAACATAACTGCCAAAATTGTTAGATAAACTTTAATATATAATTATGAAAGCGAAAATTTGAAACTATATAAATTCATCATGATTCTGTTCATTTATCACATCAGCTGAAATCGAGATGAGCAGCGGCGAGCGAGGTGGAGGCGGTTCCGAAGACGAGCCGTACGAAGATGCCACGCCGTTGCACGGAGACAAACTCTTCCACGCCTTCCTAACTCGCTTGAGGAAGAATCCTGGGCAGATTCTCAGGTTTACCCTTATCTTATGAAATTTCATACACTAACACACTCCACACACCATATGTAATTCGGAATTTGACTTCAATCATGCTAAAAGGGAACGTGAAATTAGTTTCTTGATTTCTCAACTAATGCCAGATTGATGATGGTTTAAATCATTGGTGGCAGAAAGCTCTGTTCCTTTTCAGCAAAATTATCTTTAGTATGTAGCTTGCATGGCGCTATAAAGTGACGTAACGAAACTAACGAGTATGACCGTTTCTTTCTAACTCTTGATATCGGAAACTATGTTTCTTTATCGTATTAAATTCAGCTTTCAAATGTACCCACAAATTTATGTCCATTTTTCATGCTAATGGAAAGCATTTAATTTTAAATATTTGTCAAATGCCCTATACAGTACTGTCAATATAGTATTTTTGCTACATTAATGATTACAATCGCATTGCGTTCTATTGGTGTAGAGCATATAATATCGGCACCGATTTCCGTGATGTTGGTGTATCATGTAATCGAGATCTGTATGCAAAAATTGAACCACCTTGCACCAGTATAAAAAGATCACGCACACCCATTATCAGGTACAAACCAGGAATAATGAATTAAGGTAAATATTGTTTCCGAGCGCCGAAAACATGACGGCGCTCATGTACTAATTGGGTTAAAAAATTGTGTACCTAAGAAGACCTAGTAATATCTTGGTTCACCTGACGTCGCGCCATACTATAATTTTACCTATACCTTCGAAAGTGAAGCCCTTATACAATCTTTAGAACATGCCTTGTATTAGTTGCTCTAAAAATTAATATAATTAATTTGTTTTTAATTTTTAAGTTTATTGAATGCCACGAAATTTTACTACTCCACTATTTTAGTTTGTTATAATTATTATAACAAAGATCGAAACACTAAGAAATATTCATACGATCCGACTGGATTCGAACCGGATTGAATATATAATTTATTTTTGTTTATTTATTCAGGTAACAAACAGTCATATACAAACAATATCTAAGAACAGTATATATGAATGGACCTATAGTACCATTACATTCATAAATAACATAAATTGTGCAAATACATGACCGTTACAAAATATCTAGATTGTAATACCAATGTACGTCCACAAAATATAGAAATGTGACATTGATAATATCAAATAAATTATTGATTACTTAATTAAGAATAACTATTCAGTTTTATAGGAAATGAAACTATTTTTCCGGATTTAAATCGCGTATATTTGTATTTTCAAACAAACCGACGTTTCGGGTCCTTTACAAGTCCCATGTCACACAGTCAACCTGTAAAGGGCCCGAAACGTCAGTTTGTTTGAAAAAACAAACACGCGATTTAAGGGTCGTATTCTAGAACTCTACTCAATGCTCAAGTCAGGATTGCACTGGAAACACAAGCACTGGAAATACGACCCTAACAGCAGGGACTTGAGTATGATTTCGAGTGCTTTAAACCATACTCAAATCCTGACTTGAGCATTGAGTAGAGTTCTAGAATATGACCCTTAATCTGGAAAAATAGTTTGAATTCCTATGTGTAACAATCGCGAAAACCTAAGAACTGGATGTTTATTTTTAATTAGACATTTATTTCAGGCCACAAGACCACAGGACCCCAGGACCCATATAATAGGACTAACATACATACAATATAATATAACAATGAAATAAACTAAATAACAAATGTACACGTATTCCACTTGTCGGCGACGTGTGGCGCAATCTGGTGTCAGATAACCGGCCGCGGAATCGCTGATATATACCCTTCGGCCCAAACTCTTCCTTCATGAAGGTAGACAGATGTTCGGCCGGCAATCTCACCACAAACGAATTAAAATTCACGTATTGGCGGGACTCCAACCGCTCCACCCTCAGAGTGTATTTGGCATTTAGCGTGATGCACTATACAACACTGGACAACCATTATTACACTCACTATTATAAATGCCATGTTGCGAGGTAAAATTTGTCAAAAGAATTATTTGAACCTTTAAACTGTCTGCTCACGTTTCAGGTATTCTCGAGACGAGCCTCCCCTGCTCGGCGCCCCATTGACGAACACAGCCACCAGTCCCGAATCTCCCTACGTACCCACCATTTGCACCCGATGTGGCGCCCGGCTGATATGTGAATTACAACTGGTACCAGAATTTGCAGAGACACTTTGTCTTCTTCCTAATAACATTTCGCTCTCGCATCTACACTTCCTGTCTGTATTAATCTTCACATGCTCGCAGAGTTGCTGGCAACCAACAGACACTCTAGTCACAGAAACCGTTGTCTTCCAACCTGAAGTTGTATAATTCTTCCAGCGAGTTTAAAATTTTTTGGGAATTATTAATGCATGCTGTGACTTCCCCACCGTAACGACCGAGAAATTAAAGTTTACCGGCCAGGTAAGATAAATGAATTTAAAACTGTATGCTTTACAAAATTGAAATTGTCCTTTTTGATTTACAGCGCTAGACTGCGTAACACGTACTTTGCGGAGATATGGTACTGTAAAGACAAACAATTTAAAATTTTTATCTAAGCTGGTGGACTAACCGTTTCGACTAATAAAAATTAGCCATAATCGCAATAAAATTAATTGTCCAATTATGTCGAATAAATTCGTTTTGTCGTCTTATATTGTAATTTATCTGTGATCTTATTTTCTTTACAATAATATTCAAGTGTTATTATATATTGTTCAATAAGTGCACATGCATTATAGGCTTTGAAATAAATTAAGCAATTATTCTAGAGATTGTAGATGCTATAGTCTTATTCTTAATATGTTGGAGATTTATATGCTTAAGGATTCGAGATATGTTGTAAAGAAACTGCCAGATATAAGTAAGTCGTGGTGTTAAGAGTTACTATAATAATTTTAATGGTTTTGGGAAACTCACATCCCATTATAATTTTATTTAAAAATACAGTCAATGAAATGAATTTATATCTAATTACTACATTTTATACTTATAATTTTTTTGTGATGGACGTCTTTACTACATGTTTATTTCTTTTGATATAACTCATATTGCCCGTCTTTTGGCGAACTGTTGTAACAATGCAACGTGTCACATCAATGTAGTTTCGTTTGATCATTTCACATCTTTATTATACTATTAATACAGAGTGGAAGTGATGGGTTACCGAAAACGAAATAGGAGGTGGATTCATGATTTTTATTTGAAATTTTTTTGGAATATTCTATTTTTTTTTTTCATTAATCGTTTCTTTATATATGAACAACGTAGTCTATGCAGATACAATCCGCACACCCGCGCAGTGCGCAGCCATATTATCGCGCTGTTAGTAATACATTGCGTAGCGAAAAAATAATTTCAAAACAAAAAATATTCAGCTTGCGTTTCCGGGAGAAATTTCCTGTGATTTTCATATATGTATAATGGTCTGAATCCACTGTTTTCGTTTTCGGCAACCTGTCACTTCCACCCTGTATAAACGAGCCCTGCTACCACGGGCTCGGCCTGCGGCGCGTGGTCGGGTTTAGGTTACGGGGTGTGCTTATGCTCTTCGATGACACAGAGGTTAGTACTATGGGCGCTTGATGAGGTTCCGGGTTCTATTCCCGATTTGGGCCAATTTAGGAAACGAACATTTCTAAGTTGGTTCTGGTAAGTAGGTATTGCCCTCAGAGTTACCATTATTCTGGTATTCATAGTACAGGAAATTCCCGAATTTGAGACCAGAAATTTGGTGTGATTGTTTTTCCCCTAAAATACTTCTCTTTGGTATAGCTTCCAAGGATATAACAGAGAGACAGTCGGGATGCAACAACGCTTTAAGTATCTAATTTCCACTACATCGGGAAGTCTGCCTTACATTTTTAATAATTGTGAGATCTTGTACTCGTAACAGAGCCTCCGTATACTACCTACGTAAGGCGGCGTGAGGACACTAATGGCTTCGCCCTCCGTTAGACCTCGGCCTACGGCCTCGGCATTTATGACTTTATTTTAAAAAATTAAAATAGCTCTTTAATGGCCATATATTTATTATATATATGACGAGCCCTGTAACCCACCTACAGTCGGGTCGGGTTCGGCCTGCGGCGCGTGATCGGTTTCATATATCGGGGTGTGCTTATGCTCTTCCGTGTCACAGCGGTTAGCACTATGGGCGCTTGATGAGGAGGCTCCGGGTTCGATTCCTGATTTGGGCCAATTTAGGAAATGCTATTCTAGGTATAGCACCATTGACTTACAAATAAATGGACGACGGGTCTAATACAAAAACCACGAAAAAAATGTCCCAAGTCAACCTATTCGAAATTTAAATTGTAATGTCATCGCAGTATCGCGCTGTCAGTAGAACAAATGAAGACTAAAGCGGAGTTTGGCGCTCTGTATACGATTTTAGCGCCTTACAAGTGCGGACACTTTTTAGCGCGGACCCGACATCCATATAATTGTAAGTCAATGTATAGCACTGAGAGTTCTCGCTATTTTGATATTCATAGTATAGGAAATTTTCTAATTTGAGACCAGAAGTTTGGCATTTATTTTTCCCCTAAATACTTCTCTTTGGCATAGCTTCCAAGAAGAAGGAATCTGACAAAGAGACGATCGAGATACAACAACGCTATAACTATCTAATGTCCACTACATGGGGAAGTATGCCTTACATTTTCAACATATTAAAAAAATACAATTGTGAGATCTTAGGTTTTTACACAGGAAATGAAACTATTTTTCCAGAATTACATCGCGTATATTTGTTTTTTCAAACAAACCAACGTTTCGGGCCTTTACCTTTACTTTAATAAAATCTTGTTGAAAAACCCTTTATTATAGATAAGTAGGAGGTGCTGGAAGGAATGTTATAGAGGGTAACAGTGGTCAACAGCCTGTGTAAAAAAAATTCAAGGTGGCGAATTCAAAATGGCGGCCAAAGGAAAACTTGCTTCGATACGACTGGAAATTAGCGTACGGGGTTAAGTTTTTTCGCCATTTTTTAATATGGCTGCCATATAAGCGTTTTTATCGTTAAAAATAGCTGACGAGAGACTTGCTCTGATTCGACTGAAAATTAGCATGTGAAAGCCACTAAGAGTGCCGGATAAAATTACGTAATCAAAAAAGATTTATCGCCATTTTCAAATATGGCCGCCGTACCAACGTTCGTTGGTGGCACAAAAAACATCACTGATTGCTTAAAATATTGACATGTAATATTATATATATCCTCTAGGAACATTATATATATATATAATATAATAATTTGTAATCAATATTAGATTTTCGTCATTTTTCAATATCATGAAAATTTGCCCTAATTCGACTGAATGGGCCATACAAACTGCCATACAAACTTTTTTGGCGGCAGATAAAAAAAAGGCTCTAATTCTACTGAATGTTGCATGCCGGGGTGTCTATGGATGTTTTTTATAATAATATGCGGTCAAAATTTACTTTTAGTCATTTTTCAATATGGCTGCCATACAAACTTTTTTGGAGGTTGATAAAAATTTGCTATAATTCGACTAAAAATCGGCGTGTGGGGTTCTGTGTGGGTGTTTAATAATAATTTGCGGTAAAATACTTTTAACCATTTTTCAACATGACCGCCGTTAAAGAGCCATGTTAATTTTTTAAAACAAAGTCGTTAGTGCCGAGGCCGTACGCCGAGGTCCAGCTGAGAGTGTAGCCCGAAGCGTCCGTACGCCACCGTAGTATACGGTGGCTCTATTACGAATGCAAGATCTCACAATTGTTCAAAATGTAAGGCACACTTCCCGATGTAGTCGAAATGAGATATTTATAGCATTGTTATATCTCGACGGTCTCTCTGTTAGATTCTTTTTTCTTGGAAGCTATACAAAAAGGAAGTGTTTAGGGAAAAAATACCAGACCATCACCAAATTTCTTTTGTCAAATTAGGAAATATCTTGTACTATGAACACCAGAATAAAGATATCTCTGAGGTCAATACCCAGAATACCCAGATCAGAACCAACATCGAATGTTCGTTTCCTAAATTGGCTTAATTCAGGAGTCAAACCCGGAACCTTCTCACCAAGCGCCCATAGCACTAACTGCTGTGCCACCGAAGAGCGTACGCACACCCCGTAATCTAAGCCCAATCACGTGCCGAAGACCGAGGCCGACCCCACCGTAAGTGGGGAACAGGGCTCGTATATTATAGTTTTTGCAGGCCGTTGATCACTCTTTTGTATTTTCCACATTCAGCTCTTTTCATATTTGATTTTTTGCTTTGGAGCCTATCCGCGTATAACGGCATAAAAATCTTTTTTCCAGCATATCAGAAAGTATGCGTTCAATTTTTCTAAGTGAGTCAGGACTTGTAGCTTTATATATAAAGGTACACTGACGACAATCAATGAAGAATGTTCGCTTTTGAAAGTTGAGCGAGATCACACGTTTCAGTTGCGAAAAAATGTCATATACTGTACAGCAGTTAATCAGAAAAAGAGACAATATGTAAATAACGTTCAGAAATATTTAAAGCGGAACTACAGTTTTCCTTCTTCTTAGTGGTGTTTGGTTGAAAATTTAGTAAATTTATTAACTCTGTTCTGCAGCTTTGAAAATGTTGGCCAAAATCTTTATGTGATGTCGGATTAGCCTTGATATTGTAAGTTATTGAAAATAAAATTAAAGATAAGCAATATAGTGAAACCTGTTTATTCAAAATTCATAGGTATACCTACTAAGTAGATTTGTTATTTTCTTTTATTTTAATTCTATTGAACTTTCTTTGTCGTTTTGTAGAATAGTTTTAAAATAATGTATTTTTATTATAAGGAACTTCATAAATATTGCATTTAACTAAATCATTTTAAACATTTGATGTACACCTCGAAGACTTATTGTTGCAAGAGTTTTAGAAATCGAAAACAAATTAGTAACTGTGATTTTTCTCTAATATACTTTAGTACCGATCCATTAATATTAAAAACTTACATCTAGTAAATATTTGTGATGCCCGATCCTAATTAAAAATATTTCTGATCAAATATGTGTTTTATGTGTCGAATCCAATAGATAGAATACAATGATATCTATGTACTACCGTACTATATGTATAGAGGCGGTAATCCATACATACACTATTTCACTGATGTGCGGTTCCGGCACAACACTTCATTTAGCTAGTTGTCGAACATTTAAGATGGCGTACGCAGATGCGGTTCCCGGGCCGGGAGAAATATTTGTATGGCCTACATTTATTTCTCTCGTGAGTTTTGGGTGTAATTTGTGGTTGTCTATGTGTGTCCATGGCACCCGCGACACAGGGTTTCCCTAGTGCGGGGCTATGTTGATTGTGAGCGTTATTATTATTATGTTTGAAAATTAATTTACGTCGATGTGTCGATCATATTTCGTTATTTGACTAATTGTATCAACATACATTTAAAGTTTTAAATTATTCATATTGATTCGGTAAGTAACGTTGTGGTTATTGATTCATTTGTGTATTATAATATTTGATAATCGCGAAATACTAAGCAAAATTTCACACTATCCATTTCGTTTCCGCAAGCACGTAATGATGCGTAATAAAACAAGACAAAACATGTTATCATAGATGAATAAGCAACAGAGTGTTCTGACTACACAATAGCAAAATGCAGAGTATGTTTATTATGAATAAAACATTTACTACGGTTACCACATATTATACATTTAAAAAAATATAAAAAAGACTACGGGTAGTATTTTAGAACAGTACTCAATGCTCAAGTCAGGATTTGAGCAGACTTGAGTATGATTTCAAGCACTGGAAATACGACCCTAATGGCAAGGACTTGAGTATGATTTCTAGTGCTTTGAATCATACTCAAGTCCTGGCTTGAGCATTGAGTAGAGTTCTAGAATACGACTCTAGGTCTAAAGAAAAAAACGCCTTTCCATGAGGAAAAGTACGTAACATGTAACATCATTATTTCAGCAACTCAACTGTAATTTTTTTCTTTTACTTAATTTGTTTTTCTTTTTAGTAATTCATATGTTCTCATCTCTGAAACAATTAAATAATGCCATCTTGTATGCTTCGGTATTGCTAAATACTTCAAAAAATATGTACCCGTTAATCTGTTTTGATTTTGTCCTGTATTCTTATATAATGACGATAATACTATATCAATATTATCTGCCTACCTAGCTCATTCCCAGCAGGAGGTATAGACTGTCACGTAGTTGCACGTAAGTAAACAAAAAAATGAGGTATGGCTTAATTCAGCGTCACCATGCCCTAGTATTTAAAACTTGACTAGTCGGGTAAAAGCTCCTAATTTCTTCGATTGTAGTTGCAAAAATGAAAATTTTGTCGGTCCGCCGTTATAAGTGTTTTCTGTCCATCCAGTTGTAAGAGTGTTTACCATAGTATAATAAAAAAAGTAGAGTAACTCCATCAAATATAAAAGCACGGCTTGTATATGTGCATGCACGCATGCATTTCATTGTGACGTCGTTTTGAAAACTGTGAGGCGCTATTACAATGAATTTCAGTCGTGAAAATTTTTGATCCATGATTTTCTACGATTTTCGATGTGACTTAAGTGAACAAGAGAGTCGTCAGAGGCTTCAATTAGCATTTGCTGATGAAGCCCCATGTCGTAGCTCTGTCTATTCGTGAATTTAGACATCCAATGAACATGATCATCTCCATGACGATGTATGTGGGGTCCGCTGGCGATTACAGTTACTGATTTTAATATTGATACCGTACGACAATAGCACGAGAAAACTGCGATGAACAGTGGATGAACACCTTGTTTTTTAAAATTATGTTTATAATATGTAGGTACAGGTACAAATTAAAATGTGACAACCCTACGCTCCGAGCGAAGTGTAAGACCCTAACGCGCCCTACCTACTTACTATGGTACTATCTTAACTACATTACAGTTTTACTGTCTATCCCAAATATCTATCAAAATAAACGTTTTATCTATCCTAGAGGATAAGCATATGCCGGTGACACCATTCTTCAATCTCGAAAACAACAGTTTCGCTCTGACAGCGCCAAATTTAAATTACTTTCAGAAACTTTAATGGCCCTTCTCCGAAAATTGACTTTACGACGACTCGACGATATAGATGGGTGATAAATAACGTCACGATGAAAAAATCACGATGATCCGCCGTCAAACAGTATCACCGTGACTCGTTACGAAGTTCAAATCGGGCCATTTCGGCGACGGGAGTGAATGAAATAGGATGACTTTCTTTGCTCACTCACAAGGGTCGTACAAGGTGCTTACTACTACTATAAAAGGCGGAGGAAAAAAATCTGCAGCAGTTATTATAAATGTATGTATTTATGAACAAATAAAATATTTTTGTATATTTGTTTTATTTTAGGAAGAGTTGGTATTTTATATTTATGTATAATCTACTTTGTGTATTCTACTAGAAATATAATTACATTACACTTTATTGCTATTTTTAACAATCCAAATATTCGCATTAAATAAGTAACAAACAAAATTACATTAAATAAAAAATAAACTTTTTGAATTGAATTGAAACTTATTACAAAGGGAGTAAAAACTTAAATCATTCACAATTACACTTTATTGCTATTTTTAATAATCCAAAGATTGGCATTAAATAAGTAACAAACAAAATTACATTGAATACAAAATCAACTTTTTGAACGGAATTGAAACTTATTACAAAGGGAGTAAAAACTTAAATCATTCTATAAAAAACGGCTATAAGTATTAGAAAGAAGCCGCTGGCTAAAACCGTATATCGTGATGTAAGTTATAGGCGTGACAAGGTCACGGAAGTAACAGTCGTGACAAAATCACGATGATTTATCACTGTGATACCCGGAACGACAGTCACGGCGATAGAAATGTAACGCTATTCCCCGTGTCTACTCGACGATTTTCATTAAGTGACGGCATTCATTTCAACGTGCGATATATTTATATATTCTAAGGGTAGCGCTAAAAACAACAAATCAGTTTGTTCTAGTCGAGAAACCTGGATTAAATCGATAAAATTTAAACTTGCGGTGATGCTTTACTGTCCACGCTGAGAACTCTGGCGACACCATTTTTTAATTTCGAATGTAAACACATGAAAAGCTCTTATAACAAACAAAATAAAGTTGAAATACAACGGATTATTTATAAATCGCTACACATATACTCGATGCGCTACACTCAACGTCTACGGAACCGACATGGACGAATGCGATGTGGACTTGATTGTTTTTATATATAAACATTTATAAAAAAAGTACCTATGTTATACTAAGTGAGCCTAGTTTTTTATTTGATTTGATTTTGCAGACCACGTAAGACGAAATGCAGGTGACAAAGAAATGAAACGACTAATATTTTACGACTTAAATATTTTTTTAAATAGGTTTTAAAATTTTTCGATAGTCTCGACATTTGTGTGTATTCGAACGAGCAGGTCATGGAAAGACCGAGAAAAAATTAACTGACATTTAGCGAGTTACCGCATTAACTCACAATCTACCAAACGGTAGTAATTGGAGTAATGGAGTTCATTATATTAAGCAACTCATATGTATACTACATTATTATATTACAAGTATATTATAGACTGCGATGTAATGAAATTGAATAAGCAGAAAATTATTATGGACAATTATGAAAATTTGGGAATAAAGTAAGAAAAATAATTTTAGACTCAAATGGTATTTATTTTGTGCAGTGACATGTGCGTTGTAGTTATAGAGTACATTTTATAATATTTTTATGGCAACACGGATTTCCATAAATGAAATGAATCGGCGAGTCGGTGAATAGAATTTCAATCATCGTGGTTTTATATGTGATTGACACGAAAAATTCTGCGTTTGATCGATCATTCACAACGGAAGTATTGATATTCAGTTATTCATAATATAAAATAACCATGTCTAGTGAAACTCCGGTGCCTCCACCTGTTTTATGGGCTCAACGCAAGGAAGATGTCTTTCTCACATTTAGCGTCGAGGCTAAAGATCCAACTATTAAAATAGAAAAAGACTCTGTGTATTTTAAAGGAGTCAATGTGCAGGATAACAAACCGCATGAGGTAACCATACCTTTATACGATGCTGTGGTTCCAGAAAATAGCGCCTTTATAAATAAAGGCCGGTGCATAGAAATGGTGCTTCGTAAAGAAAAGAAGGATGCTCCGTACTGGCCGTCACTCACAAAAGATAAGAAAAAACCACACTATCTCAAGGTAGATTTCAACAAATGGAGAGATGAGGACGACGAGGACGATGAGGGGGGTAACACTTATGACATAGAAGAGATGTTGCGGTCGATGGGAGGCGGCGGCGGTGCGGGCGACAAGCCCGATAAACCTTCATTCGACGACATGGAGAGCGATTCTGATGATGAAAACTTACCAGACCTTGAATGAAAATCCCATTTTAGCAATAATACCTATGTTTAACTCTGACAGTACATTGTGGATATTTTAAGATTTTTACAGTTACAATAAAACATATACAAAACATTTTCTTAATTTTTATTTAAAATTTAGTATTTAAATTCCACTTATTTATAAATTAAATTAAATTTATAAATTCGACAAAGAAGTATAGAATAAACTAGCTGCTTTCTCTCCGCTGTTGGTGAATAATAGGAAAAATAATGCCTGAATAGAACTTTAACAAGAGTGAATATAGTATGTTTGTCTATCTAGTCTTCTCAGTACTTCTATTATCCTAGAAACAATCTATCAAAAAAAAGTATGTGTATAGGACTTATATTTCTGAAATAATAGTATATCCTACTGGACCCACTAGTGGAACCAACAGTCCGGAAAGGTATATTTCAAACAAAATCCCAAAATGACTGACAAACTATGTTAGTGCATTAATTACATGTTACTTATTTGTCTGACGTACTAAAGGCTGGTAGCTTACGAATTATGGTGTGGAAACTAACCATATACATTTCTGTTTACATTGTCGATGTGTTGCAGTAGCACAACAGCAACCTGAACTGCCTGCTGTTATATTGGACGCGTAAACAGCATACAGGTATGTCTTATTACTTTACACTTGGTGAGATTTATTTATTAAATTAATAAGTAAATTTCAGAGATTATAAACATCTACGTACCATGTAGAAAAACCAATTCTAATAAATAAACAAGTAAGGTTGCAGCTTCATTTTGACATTAGAAATAATGATATTAAAGTGTGTTAGGGGAAGGGCTACCCTCCATCTGGGTTTCCCCAGATTTGTCTTAGTGACCTAAAACCTTCTAAAATAGTATCCAAGTAAAACACAACACTTTTCGAGTTCAGGGAAAAATACGATTCATTTTATTACAAACAAATTTAAATCACAATTCGGCACAAATACCCAAAACTAAAGAATTTATAAAAGTGGAAAACATAACTAATTTCGTCAAAAATAAAAAATTAAAGCTAAATTAAATTTCAATTTATACAATACAATAAATGTGTTAAAAATTTTTAGCAAGATGACCTATATTTGTTGATTAATACGCAGACAATTCTATTTTTAAATAATTTGACGTTAAAAACTTGCGTGTTATGAGCGTTAACTTTACCTACTAGGTTGCCTCAGACCAGCGTGTACCTATTGGTACCTATACTTATTTCATTTGTTTAGTAGGTATTGTTGAATGTTGTCAAAATAAATCGAAATAAAAAAAAGAAATAAAGGTGAAATAAATAAAAAAAATAAAATAAAATAAAAGTAAAATAAATAAAGGATAAACTGGGTACGGTTGAAAACTTGACACAAAGGACGATTGAAAAAAGACCGAATATCTTTCGAACCATATGAAATAAGGTGAGAGGTCCAAGGGGCGAAGAAGCGGACAAACAAGTCCCGACAAAAATCATATTGTTGTATCGCTCGCATTGCAGTTGTTTATAGGAAGCCCTATTGTGTTTTGAAAATCAAATGTAAGTATTTTTCTTCGGAGATTTCTCCAGTTATTATGATTATTATTGAAGTCTGACTATTGAGTGTATTTATGTGTTTGAAATAAAACTTGTAGAATAGGGTAGTATGATTAATTTAATGTGTCATTATTGCCACCCAAACTATAAACGGCTTTGTACCTAAGAGAGAGGTTGGGGACGGTTGAAACATTTTTTGTGGGTACAGTTGAAACAACATATTTATTTAATTTTCTTGTTTTCTAGATGCCTTCGAAAGACTTCAAGGGCGCAATTCGAATTTTACCCTTACACTTACATCTTGTACTATTAGGCTCTACTTTAAAAGGGCTATTAATAAAATACTTGTAATTGTAAACGTACAGTCAAGAGCACGTCAAGCTTGACACTTTGTACTTTGGACAGATCTTATCATAAGCGGTATAGAGTTGGATTCAAATCTTAAGTGTCAAGCCTGACGTGTTCTTGACTCTGTACCTACATACTCAACCAAAATAAACAATTTAAACTGCCTTTCACCACTTTAGCATTTTAACCCTTAATTGACAATGGTAACATATTGTGCTCTAAGTAATATATTAACCACTAATATTTATTGAATAATAACATACCGTATTGTGCTCTAAGCCGTATTGTATCTAAATTATGTTTGTTCTTGAGAAGAGGCTGAAAACCTTGAATCAGTGATTATACAATTTGTTTTTGCCGCCAAATTTTAAGTATTTATTCAAGTGAAAGTACAAACATTTAGTTATGTAATGGTGGGCGACAATTGTTTGGAACCCTGTAATTTGTGCGGGAAAAGTGACCACGCCCGTTTATCGAGTCCAAAGTGCTTGAACCGAAAAAAGCGTGTTCGTGAAACTGATTTAGGCAACAACCACGTAGTGTCAGCAGTATAGTGTACTTATGAAAAAGGGAATTAATTCTTTCGTCTGTACGCTGGCAGATAAAAGATTAGAGTTATTGAAAACGATTAGAAACGACGGCGACGTAAAAATAGTTGTCAAGACTCGGGTTTAAATTGTCGTATTTGGTAAATTACTTTTTCAAACACTATACTGTACTCGTGATGACTTCCTCTCCTGTTTCCAAAGTTTGAACCTTTACAATTCACCTGCGTATTGAAGGGTACACAACCTAAGCTACAAGATCCATTGGGTATTATTGAAAAATACAAGTTATTGAATAACAACGTGGTGTATAACGAAGCGTTGAGGTCGTTCACTTTAATGGCTATCGCTAAGGAATACAATACAATTTTGGAGACGAATATACACGCGCACGTTTTCAAACGCTCAAACCAATACATGTATTTCAAGTTTTTCCAAAATTTTATTGGTAGGGATAAGTAGAAATTAATTTCCACTTATCCCTACCCACACATAACAGTAGGTTAAGTGATTAGGCTTCAATGGTTTTTTCCGTGATCTCAATATAGTAAAGTCAAAGTCAAAATCAAAGAATCATTTATTCCATAGGTAAAATAAATTTTACACTTCAAACCGTCATTTTTTAAACTACTGCTCGTTTACTGTGCTGACTTCCCCGGGAAGAACGAGCAAGAAATTCTAGGGATTGCTCTTTTCAAATAAACTTAAAATGCTATGGAACACAATTTTAATCAAATTTATATGGAATCTAGACCCATGTCGTCTTTCCATACATCTTTATCTAAGGGCGAAACACGGACTTGGCTGTAAAAAATTGTGATTGGCTGTAGTAAATCATCAGGCGAGGGTTCAGGCCATAGTCCGCAACGCTGGCCCAATGCGGGTTGGGGACTTCACAAGTTTCCCGAGGGTTGTGAACGTTCTTCCACGTGCAGGTTACATCACGGTGTTTTACTTCACCGAAAAGTTCATTTTTAATTGAATTTTGCACATAAATTCCGAAAAACTCAGAGGTGCAAGCCCGGATTTAAAACCACGTGTGTCGTGCCTTTGCTTCAGAGGCGATTGGTGGCCATATGGCTACTATCAATCAAAGTAACCCGAATTGTTTCACATTACCCTGGCCTACATGGGGTCCACTCTTGTGTACACCCATTCAGGTTTCTATTTCTTCTTCTTTCTAGCCATTTTCAACCATATCGGTGTAGGCTTCCTTTCGTTTCTGCCATTTCTCTCGGTACTGTGCCACCTGTATCCAGTTCAACCCCGTTACTTGCTTTATGTCATCCCAAGGTTGTCATTCGGGGACCGCCTTACACTAGGAGCCTTGCTTTCGGGCAACGTGACCCGACCACCGCCACTTAAGTTTTCTTTCTTCTGTTCTTTCCTTTCCTGTTTGAGGCACATTCAGGTCTCATGTACCCCCAATTTTTTTACGCTGAACCCCTTATAGATTGGAATGGGCTTCTGGAGGTCAATAGACCACTTTGAGAATCATAACAGTAGATAAATGTTTCCCGGCCGGCCTGTTCCCGTTTCGCTTCCATCTTGCCCCGTCTCGTCCCCTGACAGTTTTTTGCACACGATGTTTGTGCCAAACTTGTGCCAAATTGCAACCGAAAAGTTGCACAATCTTCTAGTTTATGTAACTTCGCGAATATGATAGATCTAGTTTAAGAGAAAACTTCTGTAAGAATATGTATTGGTAGTTTGATCAGTTTTGGCTCACAATTTGTTTGGATATTAGGAACACAGTTACTGTCCGTGTTACTGGAAAACTGAAATTTGAGGTTATTCACAGCTACAGTAAATATACAAACGCGTACCGTCTCTGGTTGGTTCGTATCTTAAAATCAGGCGAAATTGTGGTCAATCTAGAGACTACTTTGCATAAAAAATAATTGTAATATAAACTAAATTCGAAAAAGTCTTATATAACATAACACTAATGTCTTTCTTCTTATTTAAAACGGCACCAAGGCAGCGATAGGCAATTGTGAAATAATTGCATTCGTTTGATCCCTTTCTGTATTGTTATAACTAAAGCTTTTGTTATGAAATTAATGTTTAAGATATTTAAGAATTTATTCTATAAATCATACTCTTTAGAAACACGATTACTTGTAGTTTACTCGATAGAAAAAAAAACCGAAGTTATCTCAAAATAAAAAACAAAATAAACCCTTAGTACGGCGTAAATACTTCACGGAAGGTCAACACTTTTTGAGTAATAACAAAACTACATCGTTTCTATAACCTATACTCCGTATATTTTCAAAATGTGTGTTTGTTTTAATAATACCAAAGAAGGAAATACCCAAATTCGTACGCGGTCCGCCCATAATAGCCAGAGCCGCCACACTTCCCCCCTGTCCGCTTTAGCCCTACTTCGACCGTCAGACGTAAGAGGTTGTGCCGCTTGGCCTTACGTATTTAAAAACGTATGCCACATACATTATATACTTTTATATTTTATATATTTACATAGAATATCTAAAATTAATTAACGCCAGAAGCTCGGTGCCCTCTTAAGAGCTAGGCTTTTGTTGGTAGAGTAATCGCCAATTATCTCTCTTCCGCAACTTTGATTGCCTAATACGACACGACATGAACTTTTTTTTAAAATAAATAGACTTGTTCTTGACCACTATCTAGCCCTACAGTAAAGATAAGGTCTTCAATGGAACGAGCTCACCCAGAAGATGCCTATTCAATCGCACCTTAAAAATACTCGGGTTGTATGAGGTTACTCAGAAGCAAAGTCACAGGCAGGTAATTCTATTCCTAGTGTTGAATCCCCACTGAGTCCGTCTTGGAACGGACTAGACTTTACTTAACTAAAACTCGTAATCTTTCGTTTACTGAAGCTTCTAATTCTTAAGTGTTACAGTCGCACTACAAGCCTTCGAATTCATCTAAGCCTCTGTGCTTGTCCAACACTGGACAGCACGAACGACATTAAATATTTAGATGTCATAATTGACAAGTCATCAACTTCCGTCATTTCAATTATATAACCCACAAATAAAAATAAAAAACTCCTAAACGAGTACGATGCCCTCTCGGTCCGGCAACTGTTTATCCAACAAATAATTTTGAAAACCCCACTCAATTACTCCATTTGATTCCGTTATTTTAACCAACCACAGACGACTCGATACTTTCGATCTCGTACACAACTCCGCACAGCACACTCGCGTAGATTCCCTACAAATCAGCGATGGTGCACTTGTCCCCGCCACGGGTCCCTGGTAGGGACTAGTGGAATAGGCTTAGAAAGGAGTAAAGCAAAATTTTTGGAAGTTTGTCGCGCTTTTTGTAAATATTCAACACGAGCTTTCGGAAAATAATACAAAACAGTCAATGTATTTTTCTCACCTACGACTCGCGGGATCTGCATGAACTTTTACGCAGAGTCGATCAGCAGACTGCTTAAACCACCACCATCGTCGTGGACACTTTTTTCAGAAAATATCAAACAATATTGAAGTAAATATTTCAGCCTGCCCAAAAATGTTGGTATAGATTTTGCACCGACGGCGTTTGCGTTTCAATGATGATGAATAGATTAGTTGAAAAAGGGTACAAATATAAAGCCAAGGAAGAAAGAAGAAGCAGTTGAAAACAACAACAGTTGTTATAGGAAATATAATAAAGTTATAACCGTTGATCCGGGCGCCAAAACCCCGATAGTTACATGCACGAGAACCAGCGACCGGTTTTGACTACAAAACGCTGAAAAACGGCAAAGTTCTATACGAAACTAAAGAACGGCACCGAGAAAAAAACAGATCACAACTCGTCAAAGATATAGATGCAAAAATTAGAAATGATAGAGTCTACAGAAGAGCAGCTGGGATGTGCAATCTCTCGCAAAACTGCACACGTAGAAGAATACATCAAATTCCAACTCAAATGAAAGACGACAAGAAACAGCATCGCTACGAACAGAGGCGGGTGTAGCTGTTAAAGTTTGATAAGTATATACCCGATCAAAAGGTAAACCACACGATTGCCCACGGGTTGCGAGCACTCTGGTTGAGTCCACCGCTCGTGGTTTACGGCGCCGGGTTCGATTTCATGAACAAAGAAAACTTTTAAGGGTCACCGTAAATTTAGACACAATGATATTATAAAGACAATAAAACAACGAAAAAATTTGTCAATGTATATTATAGGCGAAGCGTTTACAACTAAAAACTGTAGCAAATGTAATGAAGAAAACATACAGCAAGGACTGCACGTCTCTAAATCTCCACACCGTTACGTATACATACTACGTTTACGTAGTGCATGCCGTAAAGGTATTCATATAATTCATAGAGATAAAAACGGGGCAAAATAGATTCTAATTTGAAATACGAATATAAAGTTCAAAATTTGCCGTGTGTTCCTTCGTTCACCGGCACTGATATGGATGTTAGTCAAAAAGGTCCATTATCGTAACTCTTAGCCGGCCGTTAAGACCGGTTAAGACGGGCTAAAGACGGATTATTTTTGAACCCTAAAATGGTGATCACAAGTAATAAGTACTTGCAAAATTCCGCCCAGTTCCAAATTGAACTGTTCAACCTTTCAAGTCAATTCACATTGACGAGACGACGCCACATATTTTTCAAATACGATAATGATCACATGATTGATATAGTGAAGAATAGAAACACAAAAAATCGTTACACACTGTTTATTTAGTTTTTTCAGTTAGTGTTATACTTGCAGTATACAAATGAAATTGTTGCCCATGTGAACGTAAATTTAATGTCATTGTTATGCAATAAATGAGCCTGTTTAAGCTTTCACATTTTAACATATATGCAGACCCTGTGTAAGGGCCAAATACCGGAGGACCACGGGTTTGACAATCAAACATGTAATATGAGCCGGTTTGTTTACCAAAAGCTAAATTTTTGCTCGGGCTTGTCAAAATACCCATAGTGTTCTTTTCAAAAAATAAGCTCAAAGCCTTGCTTAAATTAAAACGATCTGGAAGAGTATTATACACAAATCCAAATATGACTTTCTCAAACGTCGCAGTGAATTGGTATGGATAAAAATCATCAAATGAGCCTGCATAGTCCTCAACAGTTAACTCATGGTTTGGCTGTTTCTGTAACTTATGTGCAATAGTGGTATGGTACTTATCGCCGGCTATAACAATCCCATCAAGGAAACTTCCCGTCCACACTGCCAGGTCGCACGCTTGGACCATCACCAAAGCAATAACACAGGTAGCTAAATACTGTTTGCCTTGGTTTTCTGGTTTGAACCTTTCGTCCATCGGATGTAGCGTACCCCAGACCGAATACAAGTCGCCTGGGAATTCAATGTCCCAGTCGAGCCACAAAGATTTTGGAGTGTTTCGCATATGCCCTAAATCGTTCACAGGACTCGTGCGGGTCCACACAGGATCTATGTTCAGCCAATACATTTTCTCATTCACAATTCGTCGAGGTCTTTTTAAAGGTTTTAAGTATCTTGTGTTTGGATTTTCATCTGGTTTGAACAGAGGACTAAGCTTATAATTGAACGCTGCATGTCTTGGAGCATTTTTTACCGAGGTCAATTCAAACGTGTAAAATTCTGGACTGTTTACGTTAGTTTTTATGAGACACTTAATTTTAATTATCAATTCATCCAACGTACGAAACAATGTCCATGATGCTACGTTTTTCGCTTCTTCGCTATGTACCCTTGACTTCTCTGAATCTGAAACCTCAGTGTCGTGCTTACCATTTCTGTTTTTGTTGGAGGGGTTTTGAGAGTTGCTTCCGTATGGATCGAAAAGATGATAGTAACCACCACTCTGACAGACGACCAAGGTACACTCAGAGAATCGAATCATTACATAGCGAAGCCTTCTTAATACAGCTTTCATATATTGCTCTAACGTTTTTTCAGAATTTTCGTTAATGACAATAATTTTTTTAATGTTTACATTAATGAATTTGCCATCCAATATGACATTTTTAATTACCCTCTTCTCACAGATACCGCAGTTCGTAGACTTGTCCATAATTTCTTGACCTTTCTCAAGACAACTGTCCACCATGAAATGATCCCACGTCCTCAGAGGATGCATGGCAGCCAACAACATAGCAACTAAACCAACGAAATGACATTCTTTCACATCATTACTTGAACTTCGGTCTTTTAAAGCGGTAGTGCCTTCAATTTTATAAAGGCCATTATAGTTTTGGTAACCAACAGCTGGCTCACTCTTCTTCCGGTCAAGAGGAACGGTGGATGATTTTTTCTTGCTTTCTCGGCTTGTCTGATCGCTAGGATCGATTGTTAACTTGCTTTTCTTTTCTGTTGCCTCGCGTTTATCATAGTCGTAGTCGTCTGGCAATTTATACCGAGGTTCTGGTAGAAGTCTCCTTACCAAGATACGGCTTAATATAAAGTGCTCGTCATTGTGAACCCCATCTTTGTTGTATACGATTCTGCAACAAAATATTATGTGTATGTTAAGTATGTTTATATTAGGTAATATTTCTTTTATACCATATAAATTAACTATTAAAATTTTGGTTTATCATTACTTGTTATTTTTGTTTTAAGTGTAGCACCAACCTATTGTTTCTTTTTCTGTTTGGTCAACAGTGAACAGGTCAGAGAATGCCTTATGGCATTAATTCCGCAATTTGTACTATACTGTATTGTGCAAAAAAGTTAATTTTTTAATTATTTTTTATAATATAAAATGACGGGACGAACAAGTCGTGCGCCTGATGGTAAGCTACACGCCTATCCATGGCAGTTGCAGTGCCACTTGGAGCTTTAAATCGCAAAGACCTGAGGGGCACTGCCAATGCGCCCGTCATCCTGAGACATAAGTTGACAAGTCCCATGTCCCTGTAATTTCACCAGCACCCTTACCCTTCAAAACCGGAACCCAGTAATGCTGACATTACTGCTTGGCGGCAGAAATAGATAAGGGGCGGTACTTCCCTGGACGAACTCTTTCACAAGGAGCTCTACTGCTACTAAAAATAAATAAATATTGTGTGAAAGATGACATGGATAAGAAAGGTGTGAGTACAGAAATAACCGCTGATAGGGGAGAGTGGAAGAAAAATACATCTTGTACCGACCCCATCTTGAGTGAGATAAGAACAGGAAGAAGAAGTTTGTTATTATGAGGACAAACGCACACCGCATTTTAATTTTCTCATCAATTTACTCAGGTTAGAATTAAAGACGTTCACCAAAGCCCAAAAAGCGATGTACAGCCGATTGGGATGGCGATGGCCGAAAAGAAGACCGAGGAAGAGGCCCAAACCACCTCCACTCCCACCAGATCCTTTCATTGTAGATAACACGTTGTTGAAAAGTATTGAGGTACCTGCTCTCATCCATAAATCTATTACCTACGAGGGTACATAAAATTCGGTCAGCGAGCTATGGGGTGACCTATGCACGGAATTTCTCTGAAGGACAAGATACGAAATGAGACAGACAACCAGTCATCTATATAGCTGGTAGAATAACAAGTGGCGATTGGTTGGCCATATATGTCGAACAACCGATAACCGAATGGGGAAGCGAGTTCTTGAGTGGAGACTACGGCTCGACAAACGTAGTGTAGAACGTCCTCATCAGTAGCGGCAGCAGATGTTTTGATATTCTGCTCTTCAATAATGAGCTTTACACATACACTCTATATGGCGTGATACAGTAATCGTGTGCGATTAGCGCTCTTTACACAGTCACTCTATAACGCGTGATCAGTAGCGTACAGGATTTCGTGCGGGAAAGTCTATACGCACAATCGTGCGCGATCACCTGTTTGATTTTTTTTTAAGCTAACGTTCTTACGCGCGCGATTGCTCGTGTTCGTTTTTGTTACAACGGCAAGAGCGTCTGTGTAAAGGCTAATATAGCGCAGGATAGAGGGTATTCCCTTAAAAATATAGCTAATGTTTTAGCTATATTTTTAAGGGAATACCCACCAACTATAGTAAACCAACAATAATTTTAATGATTACTGTGTTTGACTAAAGGTAAAAAGATAATGGACAGTTGGTAAGTTCACAAGTTACATAAATTATCTAAAACTCTTGCAAAACTGGCAAATAATTAAATAAAATTGATTATAAAATTAAAATATTTATGTGTTTGGGTCATTGATGAAAAGCTGATAAAAGCAATTGGACAAAATTGTATAAGTTTGTGTCAACCCACATATACGGATATAAGCGTCAAATCCACTACGTGTTACAGACTTCATAATCATAGTGATTATTAAGAAAATAAGTACCTGCAAGCTAGGTCATGTAAAGTCTTGAAACGCATCAAAGTTGCTTTCCCGTTTGGGTTGTTTCCTTTGCCGTCTGATGCTTGTACACTGTTCCGTGATATTTCTCTTAGACCCATAGGATTGCAAGGGCTTGCGTCGTAGAGATAGAATACTCCATTTCTTACGAAAAACGCGCAACTGTAATTCGGCGTGGTAAGAATACCGCGATCGTACTTCGGGAAAAATTTGGTGTCCAATACATTTTCGAGTTTCCATGTAGGCCCTTCACCTGCTACATCGATGCTGGCGTGATAGGCCTGAAAAAAGTTTTTAATACATTACATATATCTATATGTAATGTAATGTATTAAAGTATTATATATCAACAGAAGAATTATAATAAAAAGTACAAACTGTGGAAAATGCATGTTCCTACCAGAGCAGAAATAGGACCAATTTTCGATATCATAACTCATCACCCAATAATATTTTTGTACCTAGTGATAATCAATCGAATCCGGGCTTGTACCTAGGAGTTTTTCGGAATTTATGCGTGAAATTTAATTTGAAATTTACCATGAGGTTTCGGTGAACAAAATATCCTAAGGAAACCTGCACACATTTGGAAAGCAATTTACTATACGGCTAATTATATAAACTATATGGCTAATTATATTAATAATATATTAATTTTAGATTTTCGCCTTCTAAGGCCTTAAAGATTAATTTAGATTTTCTAAATGGTAGAGGCGGTATTCCCCGGCAATGGCACTGACGGCCGGAATCAGGAACTCTGGTTCAGGAAACGGCGTATAATACGTGTTGTAACGAGCAGGACCGCCTTCTGCAATTGAGCTGGAAGCGACATGTTACAGAAATCCAACCGCATCAAGCTGCTAGCGAGGCTGATTGGAATTAACCCGTTTGCGGACAAAACAATTGGGATTACTTCAATGTAGGCCACATCAAACATGTCGGTGATATCGTGCGCCAGATTGAGATACTTCTGACGTTTCTTGGTTTCAGTTTTCACGAAACACTCGTCATGCGGGACAGTAAAATCCACATGAAATACCCTCGGCTGCGATCGATCCAATATTTATTTATTTATTGAAGGACATCCAACAACATGCAATTCAAACTTAAAAATCTATTTTACATGACCAGTATATAATGCAAATTACAGGATATCACAGAAGCTTAAAAAAATAACATGACGTGACAAAGAGTGCTCATGATTTAACAATTAAGTTCAACATAAATAAGTATATTACAAATTAGTACCTAGGTCCAATTTACAGTGTCGTAATAAAAAAGGCAGAATTATTAAAAAGTTTACATTAAAATAATAATAATAATAAATGTTGCAAATAGAAGGTAAAATTTTAAAATTATCGTGATAGGGGAAAAAACTCATATGTCTCAAGCTGAGGGTGGACAAATTACTCCATTAATTCGTCGCAAAGATGTCAATGCTACTGAAAAACTTATTGTACTTAGTTGTAAGGCGCGAAACGATCTCATTCTGGCCATAATTCGTACGACTTGGTGAAACGTAGAATATTTTATGAAGTGGGTTACGACGGCGACTATAGGGCACTACAAGACCAAACAGGGAAACAAGGGAAGGGCTGTCTAGGCGAGTATTATCAACATCGTGTAGGAAGGCCATATCTAGCAGCTGTCCCTTATATCTATCACAATATCAGGCTTATTCGCAAGAGTAGCCCTTCTGATAATGGAGCGGTCCCAATAGCTTTTGGTGCGATCGTTTTCGAGTACTTGTAATACGGCATCCTCTGTTGTATTTCACTAGTCCGTATTTCAAAGTAAGCTCTTGATATAATATTTTGGTTTCCTGATGGTGTCTGTGCAAGTACCTACTCAGTATTAGCAAGAGCGGAACAACCAGAAACAATATGCCTAAGCGAGCTTATAAGCTATGGGACAGTGACTTTCACCATTCCGTAAGTCTTTATTCTTATAATGGATGGCCTCTTGGCCATCCTGCTAAATCCATTTCTGTTGACTGCCATTTCAAAATTTTCAAACAAGTATGTGATATCTTTATAGTACTCTATATACTGGTATATGACGAAATATTAATTCACAAAATTGCAACATTTATAATTGCTAATTTACTTCAAAATTAGCTATGAAAGTTGATATTAAGCTAGCTATGAAATATTAGCTATAATAACTTATAAACATTTGAAAGCATTGGAAAATATTATTGAAATGACGAACGGGCGTCATTGGTCCATTGTGAAAAAACGCTCTGTTAGATAACCATGGTTAAAAAATTACGATTATCCTAAATAACGTTCAAACTAATATTCAGACACTTGGTTTCCTGTCATTATAAGGCTTTCAGCGCAAAAGTGGTGTAACACATTTAAATTTTTATTGAATTGATATTCAATTTTTTTTTTTATGTGAAATTACTCCACTAGTTTGTTATAATTATTAATACAAAGGTGTAACACATGTTACTAAAATACATAATTATATTGTAATTGGATGCTAATGTCGCGTATAAAAAAAAATAGTAAATATTTTTTATACATGAAAAAAGCATCCAAATATAAAATAATTATGTACTTTTTTATGATACCAAGTGACGGGAAGAATAACTTTAGTATTCATTTAAAGTAATATTGTAGAAAAAAATTCATGTTGTTTAAGGTGGTTTTCCACTGGCGAGACGAGACGAGGATTGAAATTTTATGGCAAAATTTCATTTCTCTCCCCGCGCATCTTTGGTGGAAATGGTCTGGATTGAAGAGAATGGGCGAGGCGAGAATTGAAAAAATATTTGTTGATGTAATATTGAACTGTATTCCTGCCTACATAGAGTATTATACATAGGGCGCACTATATAAGTTTCCGGAGCTGGCCACTTACATAAACAATATTTAAAAAGTAATTACAACATTTGAAAATGGAACTGTCACTTGTTTTTACATAGTGTTTAGAAATTGGTTGTCCACATCACTATGGATTTAAGTCGTGAAAATTTTCGTAGTATGATTTTCTACGACTTTAAGTGTAATTGAACAGGTCAGCGGAGCTTCGCTCGGCTTCAAACTGCTTTTAGCGATGAAGCACCATGCAAGACGATTATTTATAGCTAATTTGCAGAATTCAAACGCAGTCGTGTGAATCTCAGTGACGAATTTCGTGTCCACTGCTGTGAACAACAAAACATCGATGCTGTGCACCGTATGATCAAAATAGACAGGCATATGACATACCATTAAATCTTTAGGCAATAATACTACACAAACATTTGGATGTGAAATAGCTGTGCTCTCGGTGGATCCCACATAATTTGACTGAGGCTCAAAAAACGGATCGCGTCATTAGGTGCAATGCCATGCCTACCAGATTCAACGAAGGGACGTCAAATGTTGTGTGAGACATATTAACAGGTGACGAAACATGAATTTATAGTTACGATCCCGAAACAAAGCAGCAATCGAGCGTATGGGTCTTTCGAGATGAACCGAAACTAACCAAAGTGGCGCGCGTGCAAAGTGCCTCTAAGCTGATGATTCGTCTTTTTTAAATAAAACTGGACACGTGGCTACTGTTGCTTTGGAGAATCGTTGTACCGTAAATAGTGACACGGTACACGACCATTTGTTTGCCGGAAGTTATTGACAAACTCCGAAAAATAACCGTAAACCTTATGACTTTTATTTATTTCCAAAAATCAAGAATCAGTTACGCGGTCAACGATTTTCATCACTTGAAACGGCTGTCGAAGAGTATGAAAAATATGTTTCAGAGATTGTCACGGAGGAGTGGCATAAATGTTTTCAAAATTGGTTCATTCCTATGAAAAGGTGCATTAACGCTAACGGAGAATATTTTGAGAAAAAATAAATTAATTTCTGACCATTTGTAGTATTTTTATCTTATTCATTCCGGAAACTTATAGTGCGCCCCACGTACTCTGCAACGGAAACACGATTTCTCGCGAGACCCCGCGATGATCATTAATATCAATCGCGAGATTGTGGAGCTTACATACGTACGTTTTGAGATTTAAAAAAAGGTGGCTTCGATCCTTCTTCCCTTAACATAACATGTAACCAAAAATCTCGCGCGAGGTCGCGTTATTTTTGGTGGAAATAGGCCGGCAAGACTTCTATTCTCGTCTCGCCTCGTTTCGTCACGCCTCACCCTAAAACTACCAATACACCACTTTTGCGCTGATAGGCTCAATTAAGTAATTATTCAGTACCTGATGTCCAACGGCAATCTTTGGTATTACATGCATTGGAGCAAGCTGAAATTTTTCTTTCTTGTTTTTATGTAATTTCAAAGCGCCATCAATGATAAAGTCCACAATTCCGTTCGTCCAGGTATTTATAGAATACTTGTACGATGTAATTATAGCCATTATGGCGGCAAAAGGCAGGATTTCGGTGGCATCTGATTCGGGTATGGCTGTACTTCCATGAATAATCTGTGTTGAATTGGGCAAAGTTTTGAAGTTACTGGGTTTAAGAAATTCTTCTGATGGTGTCCCTACTACTTCTTCTAACGGAGTTTCGTGGAGGAGTGGAGTCATTTTTTTACGCATTTGCCGCAACTTATGACGCCTGCGGGCGTCTTCTGTGAGTAAGATAAACCGTTTCACGCTATCAGGCTCCTGCATCTCCATCTCGTCTTCAATGCCGTCACGTGCCGGAGCGAGCTGGAAAATTTAAACGTAGAATGTCAGAATCTGGTCCACTAGGATTCGATTCCAAACAAGAAGTCTGAAGTAGTGTACAAAAAATAAAAAGAATCATCTTAGTACATTCAGGCATAGCCTTGACAGCACAAATTTGCTACATAAGGGCTATATCTTAGAATAATAACGCAGGCTATATATATTTTATCCGACCATTTCTAGAGTAGAAGCGCTGCAGCGGTGCGCGCGTACTGTTGGACAATTTTCCGAAAACTTCAAACAGAGGAAATCTTTCCGGAAAAAGTGGAAAAATATAATTCGAAGTCTCACATTATGTTACACATTTGATATATCTCATAAAGTTTAAATTAGCGTGAAGCAAGTTAAGAGTAAAACGGGATTTAAAATGATTAATCCTAGATTTAAGAGAACTCTATAATAACTCCATCGTTTCTGTTGAGTATCTTCATCTTTTCACAGGTTCACAAGGTTTCAGAAACGCACGTTTGTACCGCTGCTGAAGTCGCCGTGTGTAATCGCTCTTATTCCTTTTTAGGCATGTAGCAAAATATAACAATATAACATATTATGCCTTCCACATAAAAAAATATTTGCAGTAAAGTAAAATAACATTAAAGCGATAACAATTACATAGATCTAACAATTGATATTCTTTATCTTTTCATTATTAACATCGAGTATGTAACCAGAAATAGAGATAAATAAGTAAGTAATAAATAAATAAGGGCCCTATTTCCTGGTAACATATTAGCGATACAGCTCTTATAAATATCAACTCTCGTTTGCACTAAAATATAGCCTGGCCAACTACTGACCTGTGTGTACGTCTCCGTATATTCCAAAAAATATTCTGTATTTATTGTAATAAAGATAATATCTCTAACAATGCCGTGCTGATCTATTCGGTGGTGTGGGAAAAACAGCAAAATATCTAATTACTAAACAAACGGAATCACATTTCATCGGTAATTAAATATATAATATTTAATTTTGCAATTTTCGTCCATTATAGCAAAGTTCAAGTTAACTGGTCAATTTGAAGTGAATCAGTTAACGACACCAATTGACGACACCCGTCAATTGTTTCGAACTCGGGCTAGCCAATCGGAGCGCAGTTGTCACAGTAATGATATGGCAGAATAGTTTTCAAACCAATTAGACGACATTTCGTCACTATCTCTGGTTACATACTCGATGATTATTAGTAACGTCATTATACCGACTCAAGAACACATTCAAAACTACACGTGTGTTGTTCGTATAAACTCTTGTTAATGCACCTATAACCATATTATAACACTACACATTTTTATACGCTGTCGATACTATGTGAATTACATAGAGTTCAGGCAACTATTTTTTTTCCTAATAAGGACAAAATGACAAACCGCCACTTCAGTGTCGGAAGGCTGCGGTGAGGGAGGCGGAGGTGCGAGCGGCGGAGGCAGCTCCTCGGCCTTCCTCCTGGCCTCTTCCTCTTCTAACTTTTTCCTTTTCATCTCTTCTTTCTTTTCTTTAAGGGCTTCTTCGTCCAATTCTTCTTCTACCTTTTCCTCCTCCTAATGTTCAAAATTAACTCTATATTAAATGCATCCACGAAAAAGAAATCATATTCATTAAAAAGCTCTTATAAGAAATGCAAGTAGTCATTTATTTTATAATGTAAAATAGCGCTTACCTCTGGCAATCCTCCTTCCGGTATCTTAAACAATAAAATTTTTTATGAAATTAAAAATTGTTCAAATAAACGGTTGGGCGTTTTGTAAAGCAATTTGTAAAGTGCCTTTACTAAAGCATAATACTAGTCTAAAGCGAGTAAATATCTGCTAGAACTATATATCTTTATATAAACATTTTAAGTCATACTGGGGGCGGTGGTGGAGTGGGAGGCGGCGTCGGCTCCCGCGAGGGATCGAGGTCGGGTATCTCGTTGGACTTGTCCCGAGTCTTGGGCCAAGGAGGAACTACCTGCGTCACCGACACCGTCGGAGAATCCAAGTTTGCTGTATCAAATATAAAGCAATATCCGATGTAAACGTATTTCATACACTTGATTTAATTGTAAACTATACGACAGTTATACTAAAGGGGCTGGGATACAGTCGGAATACCTGTCTTAATTTTTTTTTCACTTCTCATGCTCTTAAAGTTCGTATTTATGTTGGGTGTAGGCTGCATAAAATAGGATTTTATGCTCTAGTGCATAAAATAGGATTTAATGCTCAAGTGCATAAAATAACAAAACCATCACGATAACACAAACGTGTAATTGTTGTAATTTTACATTCAATTTTAATTAAATAATCGTTTATTTGTAATATTGCTGATTAATTTCATCGCAAATCGAAAAGTACACAGAGTGTATAACTCGTTCATAAAACCCATTACTCGACTTAAGTATCCATATACTCGTCTTGGGTAAGATGACGCATTTCACGCACTTGTTGTACAATCTACTATTAATTACAAAGGAGTACTTTTAGTACTCACGTTAAAAACTGTCAAAAAATATTTTAGTTTTTATTTCTACTGTCTATTATAGTATATATTAATATCAACACGGAGTAAGTATATAGGTACTTATACATATAAGCTGTAGCATATGCTAGTGATGAGTAATTGTCTGAAAATATCGAAGTGGTTGTAATTTTTTAAATATATTTCCAAAAATACTTTAGTCGTTTCTGAAAAAATTATGAAAAGATTAATATATAGGTACAAAGATTTAGAAGTATGTATTTTCTGACAAATACGATTTTTTCAAAATATAAAATTTTTCCAAGATGCATCGTTATTATAATCAGACGTGAAAATCGTCTCGGAATTGAAATTTGCAAAAAGTCATTAATCACCGGAAACTTTTTCTGCTTCGTCTCCTCCCGTCTCTTCCACTGGCGATTTCTTGTATCTCATCGGAATGGGCGGTACAAATTCTTCTTGGATGCTATCCACCAAGGAGATTATGTCCCCCATTTGCTCCTCATCGAGAATCTATGCAAAAATATTGTATATTCATATAAATCTATTTTATTCATTCTTGCTTCTAATTTATATCCTACATTCTTAATTGATTTTAATCATGTTATTTAAAAATCATAGATCGAAACAACCTGACAGAGCTAAACAGGTCTTCACCATGTATTTGTCATCCAAGTATGTAGAATATTTTATTAGAATTATAATAAATAATCTTTAGCTTTTGTTTTTGTTCAACTATAGTTTTAAACCTCGGAAATGGAGTTCGAATATCAGCCGGAATCTCATTACAAAAGCGTACACATTACCCATGAATTTGTGATTTTGTAGACAGTTTTTAGCGCATTTATTTAAATGATCACTTTAAATTTGTAAAAACAGCAGGTAAAAAAGTGTAAACGCTCCTCTTTTTGAACAATTGATTCTCTTTCTCTGAGACATAAAATAAATTAAATCGATGGTTACTTTAATCTGTTCTGAGCTACGCAAAATATGTTTACGTTGTACAAATTAACTTTGATAGATCTTAGTACTTTGATAGTTAGTTTTAGTAGTTATACTAATATTATGTTAATTGTAATATAATTTGACCTGAAAACATGTTCGAAAATGTATGTAAATTGGCTTCTGGCACTCGCCGGCCGCTGCCGCGACAAGCTCGCTGCGCTCGCTCGGCTCGTGCTTCTCTTTCATATACAAACCTAACCTACTAAATGGAGGGCGTAACCAAGCAACCAAGATTTATCAGGAGATCCGTATCAAAAGATATACTGGTTATAAATGTCATCAATCAAAAGAAAAGCCCAATAATAAAAAAAGAGGATCAAATATTATTTTTGAACACCAAATATTAATTTAGTATGCTTAAACACAATGATAGTGTGTCCTTGAATGGAGTTCATTTATAATTTATCGGTAGATCAACGAGTATAGATGGAACAATTAATATATGCACATAATAACCATAAAAAACATGGTTATTTTTAAAAAAAGTGCACATTTACATATAGAACAATTACATCTTTTAGGATCAAATAATATTATTTCGGTTTTCTTTCCTCATATTAGGGTAATATTGTCGTATCACTATTTTTCATGGAAAATGTGCGGTTAGCCACACCACAATGGTGACGTGAAATTACTTGACCAGAGTATCATTGTGCCCAGAATTAAATGCCTTACAAATACACAAATAGCATCAAGTGAATCTTCGTAAACATTAAATATATAGTTATAAGATTTTTTTTCAAATATTTTACTGGCTGTCAGTAATATTGAAATAGATTACAATTCTGAATTCCTACCAGATTTAAAAAGAGGAATAACAATGCTTTTTATTTCATGACATCAGTAAATACACCGTTATCGACACATTTGTGAAAAATACATTGACAAATCACCACTAACTCTTGACTTGTCCTTTGATGCTTGAAGTAGTTCGATAGGTAACACGTCTTGAGCAACTTTCCGGTAGCCCAGACCGGTGCCGCCATCACCAATCATCTCTGCGCGCATCGAGATGACGGGTAGCACCTTTCTTTTAAACTTTTTACCCTTGTCCTTGTGGTCTGTGTCACTCAGCGTACATTTTATTTGAGTCTATAACATAAACGGCTGAAAATTACTTCCCATTTGTCAGCTGGGAACTAAATTAAAGATAACACGCACATACGCATACCTACACTTCTTACTTTCTCACCTATTAGGCGTGACAGTAAATCGTTCATTATACAATTGACCTAAACGGTGATAACTATGTGCAGTAACAAAAAAAAACGCTAGTGTAAATTAGCAGTCCAATGTGAAACGCAAGAACGGAGGTGGGCATCGTTTCGGAGAGGGAACTTGCACGTTTTAACTTACTACCACATACAGATTTGAAGAAGAAATGTCAGATAGTACAACAAAAATTTAAACGATAGTTTTTGATACATTTATTGTTTTGTAAAAAGTACCTAATGGAACAACACTTGTTGTTAATGATGTTAATAATAAACTCATGCGAGGTTGTTAGTGTTTTATAATAACTCTGTACAAAATATTACACATACAACACTTCACAGACTAACCTTAGGAAATTTCTTTTTAACCTTTAACACTTTGAATGCGTGAATGGAAAATAGAGTCGTCTCCGGCAAATAGTCCCAGATATCTGCGAATACCTCTGCCATCGTATCCGTAGTAAGTAACATCATACAACATGCCTTGCCATATTTTGGGTTTTGAGCCCTTTCACCATCATTTGTCCGCGGATATGGATCGAACATATAGAACATATCCTTTTGTCTCCACACGGCTATTTTATAACCACTAAAGTCCAAAATACCGCTATTATATTCATTTTTAAAGAACTCCTGTAAACCGGTTCTAATGTTAAATATACACTCCTTCGTTGTAAACAATTGTCCTTTCACCCTGTCTCTATAAATAATAATCTCGCAACTATATGGCCCAAGAAGGATCTCATTAGGAATATTATCTATTGTCAAATCTACCATTCCTTTTGAGGGGGAAAACTCCAAAAACAGTTTATTTGCTAAAAGCATAATCTTGTCTAGCGTCTTAGAATACCAGGTGTTAGGTGGCGATATTTTCGCATATGTCATAGCTGTTATGGCGATAGGCAGGGATTGGCGGTATTTAGTATCGTCGAAACAACGATCACCTAAATGCATATTAGCGTTAACGATAGCTCGATTCTCGTCAAGAATTCTGTAGCTCATAGAGGCTTTCTCCGCTTGAGTAAGCTCTTTCTCTTCTTCAAAATCTTCGTCCGATTTCTCGTCAACCATTCTGAGGACTTTAATGGGTGCTAGCACATATCTTTGGTCTTCTAGTATACTGCGTGCTAGGAGCAAGTCTGCAACCGCTTGTGCGTCTTTCACGTTTATGAGGGCAGCAGTGCCAGTGGAATAGTTCGATACAGCTTTAGAATTTCTGCCAGCTGGGTCGAAAACGTAAAAGCATACTTTGTCTTTCCAAATTACTAATTTAAGGGCCCTAAAAATAAACGAATGCTTAAGTTGAAAATTTTACATATAATCAGTACAGAGTACTAAAAAAACCGACCTCAAAAGTACGTGGAATTACATATAATTGCCAATTTTTATTGAAATTGGTTATCGGAAAGTGCGCAAACCCGGATTCAACCCTTAGTTCGCCACTACACAGGAGATAGTAAAAATCGGTTCTCACTACTCAAAGTATATTGAGAGAGAAAATGCCTTGAATTAGCAAAATCAACCATTAAAATAATTGCTCATTATAATAAAATTTAGGCGCTATTTAGAAAAATGAATCTTCATGCGTGAACAGCCACCCTTAGAGGTGGATGATTTTCTTCAAAATTAAATGAGACCACTATGGAGGTACCCTCTTTCCAACAAAAAAAGAATAATGAAAATCGGTTCCCAAATACATTATCGCGTAACATACATAAAAAAACATAGTCAAATTGAGAACCTCCTCCTTTTTTGGAAGTCGGTTAAAAAGTAACGAGAGTGGTCAAAGAGGATTCTTTCCAACGAAAAAAGAATCATGGAAATCGGTTCACAAATACCAGAGTTATCGCGTAACATAAAAAAAAAACATACAGTCGAATTGAGAACTTCCTCCTTTTTTTGAAGTCGGTTAAAACTATCACATTACCAATGTGATAGTTTTAACATTAACGACATGAATTATCTCACATATTCAGGACATTGTTTACATAAAGACAAAATCAACTTTCAATATTCAGTTACTATCTTTGAAATCCCTCATGCCCTAACAAAACATGCGTGGGACCAGACCTAAAGTCCAGGTTCTAGGACGTAAATTTTTAATAAAAAGCCATCAGGGTGTCAATTCAGAACCTTACGATAACTCAGTTGTCGACCGATTCGATTTGATATCGTATGACTTCTTTTCTTTTTATTCACAACACGCGAGTCGACCCCAAACTGTCGTATTCGAAACCGAACAGAAATGACGTCACACTCGTACGATTACTCCAACTCCTCGACCGGCAAAGGCTACAAACGTCATTCAGAACACAGTTATCGAATGCAAGTTACCGACCGTCCTTTTGTTTACAAAGCAAGAATGTAATATGGAAATCTTTTATTATTTTAAATAAAGTCTGGATTTTGTTCAATTTTATTAATTTATTTTAATGCGAGACTAATTCACTCCTATATTTTAAGCCCTTAAAAGTCTTACAAATGTATAAAAAAATGATTTTAATTTTTCTTATAATCTATTTCACCGACTAACTTCGTAAACGCTGTTGGATAACGATATCGTATCCGAATCGAACGTTTTACTCAGAATGTTCTGAATAGCTCGGAAAGCGCCCTTCGATAAAATGGAGGCTAATTGATAGCCTGCTCTTGTACTCGACAATACATATATGCGCATGTAAAAATATAATATCCTTATATTGTACAGAATAAGGTATACCTTGACATCATAATAGCAGCTCGGTTTTCTTTAAAAAAAGTTTTAAGACCTCTACATAAATTGTATACTCGAGGGTCGTTGGATAGTGCATAGCCCACAATGTAGGGCTCACCGAGGTACATCAGCATGCGCTTCTGGTTTAATATTAGCGTCTCTTTTTTTCCATACTTTAACACTTCGCACATGCCTTGAACCTCCGCATGGTCGTGCTGTTTGTCTAGTAGTTGTAAGTACCTAAAATGTAAGGAAAGGGTTAAAGTTACAAATGCACTTCTGCCATGTGAACAATGACGCCATAAATCAAAAGAGAAAGAGAGAGACAAAGGTAGTAGTGTTTAATTTTTTAGATTAGATTACCATTGGTCGCCAGCGTCCATGAGATTGTCTACGAGTTTCATAGTCCACTGTTTCGGATGATAGTGGAATGCAAGACAATACGCCATAGCGCTCATTGCTATCGCCTGTTTACCCCTCGATCTACCACCTAAAACACAATACAAATATTCATTATTGCACAAAAGCAAGGTGCAACAAGCTCAAAGCAAGTAGGTACCTATACAGTTAGCGTTGCCAAGCGTCTAAATAAGACGGATATATTTAAGCTTTTTGGGTGCGTGTCATGCCAAATTAGACGGTGTTCGGTTGTTGTATCACTGCTTGAGGTGATCTGCCAAGTCGCAACTTCTTAAGCTGAAACGCCGTCAACGTACGATTCTCAAGGTGGCAAAGAGCCTACCCTTCGGATATCTGACCTCTATAAAACCTGTGAGGTCCTTTCAGTACGGCAGCTGTTAATCCTTCGAACAGCTTTTACCATGCACACACAAATCCCCTATGACTCTAATAAACTGATCACAGACGTAAACACCTGGTCTGTCCTTCAGTTAGTTTTCACTAGTTTTGCGTCGACTAAAAAACTACTTACCGTACCTACACCTACGCACACACTCCCGCATTCTCACAATCACGCAACACGCTCGCGCACGCACTCACGCACAACACACATACATCGTTTCTTGTTATAACTACACTTTATTTTGTAACATGATCGTATTTTTTTAAATAATGTTACTTTCTTTATACACCTAAGAGGGAGTGAGCCTGGTGATCTGTAACACAGGTCCCCAACCTAATACAGACTCCAGCTATCAGTAAGGAACTTTTTATTATACTGACATGAAGTGTAACTACTTATAGACCTTTCTGAGAGAAGCATTTTATATTAAATCATAGTAAAGCATTTTGTATTGTATTGTGACTGTGTTCGACTTTTGCCATGCTTTTTATTTATTTATTTATTTATTTATTTTATTTTATTTTATTTATTGAGGGACAAACAGTTACGCATATAAAAATAATACATATTTTAAAATTAACTTTTACATTTGAGGTTTTATTTATATTCAGTAAACAGTAGACATTTTTGAAATAATGTTATGCAATATGTGTTATTCGTTATATCATAAATATATTTGTTGTACGTGATTCATTGTATAAAGTATAAATAATTTGTGGAGCAACTTTTGAGAAAAATTACGATAATTTTGTTTAAAACAATTGTTATTTCGTTTAGAGTTGATTTAAAATTTAAATTTAGACCACATTTTTGTTAATAAATGAACACTTTCGTTGTACACTGAGTAATTAGCAGAGATCTAGTTTTGATACATGTTTCTAAATTATTTTTGATACTAGTTTTGTTCGACAGTTGTTTTATTTGCAGTGAAATATTTTTTTTGATGTGAAAGTTATTTGAACGATAATGAACATAATTTTATATGTATTAAGTTTTCTGATATCTATCTGTATATATATAAACACTTAAATATTTCCCGAAAAAAGAAACTGATTTATTCAATTTCCCGAAATTGTCCCGAAATCCTGGAAGCTTGCAAATGTACAGCCTGTACCTAAGAAAGGTAGCCATGCCGACCCATCTAATTATCGACCTATCGCAATCACCTCCATACTCTGTAAGACTATGGAGCGTGTATTGAAAAGCCGTCTCCTTGGATACCTCGAAGATAACGATCTCCTCAGTGATCGACAATATGGTTTTCGCCGTGGACGATCTACTGGGGATCTTCTTGCGTACGCCACACATTTATGGAGCGAGGCTGTCGAGAAACGCGGTGAATCGCTTGCCGTGTCTCTCGACATATCAAAGGCCTTTGATAGGGTTTGGCATGATAGCCTGTTAAACAAGCTTCCAGCTTACGGAATTCCTGTTGGCTTTTGCACATGGATAGGCGATTTTCTGAAGGATAGGTCAATCCGTGTAGTTGTAGATGGTTACTCGTCTGCTCCTCATGGTATAAATGCCGGTGTACCTCAGGGATCTGTCCTCTCCGCCACTCTATTCTTGCTGCATATCAACGACCTGCTGCTGATGCCCGGTATCTTTGGGTACGCAGACGACAGCACAGTGGCGGTGAGTTATGTGCCAGACGCACAGTGAAGAGATCCGGTGTAAGCGAGAGGCGATGGTCACCCGGTTGAACCTGAGTCTGAAAGCTGCTTCCGACTGGGGAGATGCTAACAGGGTCAGGTTTAATGCGGCTAAAACACAGGCGTGTCTTTTCTCATCAAAACGGAGTCCCCTACACCTTACTCCGACTTTCCGAGGTGTATCCGTGCCGATAAGGGACCACCTTGAGCTACTTGGTCTGGACTTATCATCCAACCTCAACTTTGGGCGATACATCGAGTGCTTGGCAAAAACTGCTGCCAGAAAACTAGGCATACTTTTCAAGGTCAGGCGGTACTTCACACCTGAACAGCTTTTAAATCTGTATAAAGCACAAGTTCGATCCTGTATGGAGTACTGCTGCCACTTTTGGGACGGCTCTGCCCAATACCAGTTAGCTGCCTTGGACTCGGTGGAGCGTAAAGCAAAGAGACTTATTAACAATAATCCTCTTGTGGAGTCGAAGCTCCAAAATCTCGATCATCGCAGAAAAGTAGCCTGCTTGTCGGTTTTCTATCGGATACATTTCGGGGAGTGTGCGCAGGAACTTTTCAATTTGGTTCCGCCCTCACCGTTCCTCCTTCGGTCGACTAGAAGGTCCGGAGCACTCCATTCTTATGTCGTTGATATTCCACCTATTCGCACTAAGCGCTTTGCCTCCTCCTTTCTGATGCGTACGGCAAAGGAATGGAATGCTCTACTGTATCTGTATTTCCCGAAAAGTACAATTTGGGGCTATTCAAGGCTAGAGTGAATAGGCATTTTTTAGGCAAACGCGTCCCATCGTCGGTCACATCGTCGCTTAACATCAGGTGAGATTGTGGCCAAGCGTGTGTCTATTATATATTAAAAAAAAAATTTCATTGTTACTTCTTCATAAGAATTTCTTTCGAAAGAAAACTTTTCGATAAATAACCCTTAAAACCTGGTTTCACATTAACAAAAAAATTATTAAAACTCCGGCCAGCAAATATCCGGCTAAACTGGCTGATCTGTCGGGCTATTTGATCTTAAAATCTGGCAACCTTATTTACAGTCCTACAATGCTTTAGATCAGGGGTTCCCAAACTTATTTTGTCTACTGCCCACTTTGAGAATAAATTATTTTTTAGCGCCCCCATTTTTTCACCTACTTAAAAACCATTATAACTTCAAATTAAATTAATTATTGTGAGCTATATTAGCGGAGATTAAACATTCATTCTAAACGAGACTTTTACTATAACCCGCAAGAATTAACTTGAGACCTGAGCGCAGTAGGTAGTACACAACGGCGCTCAGGTCTCAAGTTAACTATTACGGGCTACACCTGCCAATGAGAATGATTATTGAAACGCAACTTTATAGTATTCAGACAGAATATCTTTTATTCAAAATAAAACAAACATAATCGATTCTAACATAAAAACTAATGTGAAGGATGAATCTGATGCTGTTTAATAAGTTTGTTGATATCAGGTTCCAAATTACTCAAGAACACAAGTCACCACGTTCGGTAACATGCAAACGATTTCTCTTTTTAGTAAGCAGCGTTGTCACAGCACTAAAACCACGTTCACAGAAATATGACGATGGGAATGCTATCAAGAATCGTTGAACGATTGACCACAATCCAGGGTACAATCGCGGGATCTTGGTAGCCATTTTTTAACTTGATTTTTATTTCCTCGTTCGTTGTCAATTCTATAAGTTCTACTTCCAGCTGAGGTGGTATTGCTGTGTTGACATTTGAAAACGGATCCAACACCCAGTCTGGTATTTCCAAGTTCAAAATGTCCTGGTTCGGTTCGGTGGTTCGGTGAAGTCAATGTGGAGGTTTTCTAAATGTTGGCAGTAGGCAAACAAGTCGTCGTTACAGCAGGATACTGATAAATTCCGAAAATTGTGACACTCACGTCTGCCCATTTTCTTTTTGTGCAGAAGCAGTTTTGCTGCGAAAGCAGCAACGACATTTTTTGTTTTAATTAAATTTAGTTCATCGCCTTGCAGTTGGAGATTTATGTCGTTGAACTATTTATACAGGTCTGTCATGTAAGCTATATCATTCTTTGAGGTAATGAGCTTGTTGCGCAATTCTGTATCTTTTGTTTCCAAGAACTCTATCACAGAGTCAAACAGGTTGTAAAATCGAGGCAGACAATCACCTCTTGATAGTCAACGGAGTTCAGTATGAAACAACAAACGGTTGAAATCGTCGTCATTAGTAATACTGATGAAATAATCTATCATTCAAAGAGCTGTTACGGATTTTATTAACTGCTTTGATGACATATTGCAGTGATTGAAATAGTCGTTCACTTAAATTTCTAGCAACCAAATGTTGCCTATGAATAACGCAATGTACAGCAAGGACATCTGGAATTTTATTTTTTAAGTACGCTATGAAGTCTTTATCCCGTCATAGCCGGAGCGCCATCCGTAGCAACTGATATAATATTTTTCAAGGGAATCTCTTTCTCATCACAAAACTTTTCCAATGTATTGAATATGGTTTCGCCTTTTGTATTGTCTCTAAATTTCTAGCAAACAATAGTTCTTCACATATTTTCTCATCTTTAATAAACCTCACGTAAGACAGCAATAATGCTTCATTAGTCGGTAAAGTGGACTCATCGAGCTGAATTGAGAATTGACAAGTCCTCAGATGATTGCACAATGATTCTTCAATGTTTTCAGCCATTTCATCAATTCGTCTTTGCACAGAATTATTACTCAAAGGAATTTTTCGGATAATATCTGCGGCCGGTTTATGAAGCACAGTAGTTATTACTTCCTTTATTGCTGGCAAAATTAACTCCTCTCCGATGTTGTGTGGTTTGCCTAAATGAGCAATTAACAAAGAGATATTGTACTAAGCTCGAAGTCCTTTTTAAGAGTTTTGCTACACTTGGCTGAGTATTATGCTTCTTCTCATGGTCTTGAAAATATGCTACATTCTTGTCTTTCTTATCTGGATGCATTTTATTCAAATGATCTTGCAGTCTTGAAGGCTTCATTGCTTCATTCGAAAATGTTTTTAGACATAGAAGGCACAAAGGCGACGATGGGTTTGTGGGATTTTCAATGAATCCGAATTTAATATATTCCGCACAGTATTGCTGTCTCTTCTTTTTTACTTCCGACATAGTTTTGTTTTGAGAAATACGTAAGTAAGTGTTGAACTTAAGTACTGCTTATCTATTACGCGTGAAACTGCAAATGAAAATAAAATAAATATTACGTTGTTTATATAGGATTGCATAAGCAGCACGCACCGACAGGAATAAGACAAACATGCATAAACTCGTTTATCTCTTCCACGCTCAATTGTACTCAACAAGAAAGAACAAGTATTCTATGAACCAGCCGATTCATACAGGAATGCACAAATCGGGTTATTAAAATAAAACTTGTTAAAACATGAGTGCCCGCAGCCTATTATCTACGAAAATTACCTATCTAGGAATACTAATAACTATTAAAATGCGAAACTGTGTCGCCTTTTTAATTGTTTGTCTACTTTCAATTCGAAACGGAGCGATTGACATAATTTTTATTTTATTTATTCAATAAAACAGGACAGATATATGAACTACACGGAGAGAAATATCGAACCGAGTTAGTTTGAGCAATCTCTTAATATTAGTTGATGTTCACATATTGTAGTCGAGAGTCGAGAGCTCAGTCGGTGTCTAAGGGTCGTATTGTAGAACTCTATTCAATGCTCAAGTCGGGATTGCACTGACAACACAAGCACTGGAAATACGACCCTAATGGCAGGGACTTGAGTATGATTTCGAGTGCTTTAAACCATACTCAAATCCTGACTTGAGCATAGAGTAGAGTTCTAGAATACGACCCTACGAGTCTTCCTAGATGAAATTACAAATCTCCCCCTAAACCTCTACACAAAGCCCCCATGTTTTTGTAGGTCTCATACCGCCCCCCTGTAGGCCTGCAGCGCCCACAATGGGGCGTTATCGCCCACTTTGGGAAAGGCTGCTTTAGATGGCCGTTTGAGCAATTGTTTCGTAAAGCAACGGCCAAAAAATCAGCGCTCTGGTTGAAATCACTGACATCAGACTCTCATCAGATTTTCATAACGCGTAAAATTTTGGTAGAGTGTCAGTTTTATGATGACACTACGACCGCTATGATCCGTTGATCGAAAGTACACTTACGAGGTTTACTTACCAAATTTATCGCTATACATATTGTAAGAGCCGTTGAGGATGCCAAAATGTACATCTCCTGTTAATTCTTTGACACATGGCATCACAGTCAGCGAGTGCGTCCTAAGCGTGTGCTTCGGCAACCTTGGTGGTACTTGAGGCTGAAATTGTTATTGTACAAGCATATAAAATTATTATTGTCTGCAATTAAGAAAGTTCTACAACTTATGTCAAACGGAACCCAATTTCTTTAGTAATTTTTTTTACCAAAAAAAAACTTAAATGATCTAACGTATAGTACATCTCATTAAACGTGTGAAGTAAACGTGCTTTTAAATAAGCACGTTTATCAACTTTATGAATTTAACACAAAGTATACATTTCAAATGCTAAATAGATAGAAAAATAATGGAAAATCTAAAAGATCAACTTCTAGCGCAGCATTTACTTCCGAGCCTTAAATCACACGTAAGGACATATTCATATTTAAGAGTATTGCTTGAGCTCACACACGTCTCGATTAAGATTGAGACGACCTTTAAGATAAAAACAGAGCAGATACTAAATTACTGAACCAAGTAAAACTAGCTTGAAATATAAAACAAACTGAAGTTGGGACAGTCTAAACCTAAATATATGTATGTTTTTAGAAATGTTGACTGTATTTATGTTTTTCTGGATTAGACCCCGAAACATTTCGATAAAATTAATGATATCTGATAGAACTATTATAGATATCAACACTCTTAAAAGCAGTCACAATATACAACAAATACAAAAATAATTTTAAAAGGTTAAAAGCGAAGAAGAAAAAAGAAAAAAATATTTAAAACTCAAGAACTAAAATAATAATAACAATATTAATTGTGTTTTGAATTATTAACCACCCCTTAAAAAATAAAACGGGATCATACAGGTTGAATGGATGGAGAATATAATTAATTGGAACTATCAACAAAAATCTGAGTGACTGTTGAAAAAACAATGATATACAATTTTTTCGTACAATCCCTAACAACGGATCCAACAAGATCTTGAACCTTATACATATAATTAAATGATATGTTTCGTTTTCGGTTACTCCTCTCTTATTTTTAAGGTTATTTACCTAGATCCACGAGGCCCAATAGCGAGTATCAGCTGCATGCTGATTTTGATTCAAATAGGAATCGAACCGATCGAGTAGTCTCGAAATCAGATGGGTTTCCGAGCGAGACGATGAACATGATTCCTACGATTAATAAAAATCTAGCGTGGTAAGTTAAGTAAAGCTCTTATTTAGTTTATTATGACGGCGCGGTTTTGCAGGGGTCTACTTGATAAAAGAGGATGATAATCCTCGCACTCATGCGCTGTTCACGTTATATTATAAAAATAGCATACCACATATTTGTGCTCAGAATAATGCTCTTGTGCCAGATAACTACCTATAAAATTTTACCGATATGATTTTAAGGCTCCGGTGTAAATGGGTCTTAAGGAATATGAAACTAACAAATTCTGGTCTGGGCACTTCGTCTAGGCCGCAGTCGTCATCTCCAAAAATGCGTCTCTTTCTGCCACGCATCCTGGGCGTGCCGTCGGTGACGTATCCTTTCGTACCCATGACACTGATAAGAGAATTAAATTAATTAGGACTTTCACACTTACTGTGCGTCACATAATAATATGTTGCCGCTAAAGTACTTATTGACGGCATTCATCATAAACCCATTTATACGTCCCACTGCTGGGCACGGGTCTCATCTCAGGAGAGGCCACGTTTTCCTCGGGGTGTGAACCTTCTTCGATGTACAGGTGCATGGCAAATTTCAAATTAAATTGCGCACATAAATTCTGAGAAACTCAAAAGGTGCGAGCCCGGACTCGAACCCACGGCCTCTGCTTGAGAGGCGGTAGGTCAAACCATTAGGACGCATTTATTCGACAGGAATTTCATCGAACTCACGTCGTCGAAGAATGGAGTCCGCCTTGCCGCCACGCAGCGACCGCGTGCGTCTAACTATCATGGCAAAATACGCTCTATTTATTTAGCTTTTACGTTTAACTGAAATGAGCGTTCCGGGTACGTGGATGTGAAAAGACGTGTGACCAAATGAAAAGACGCGTGATGTGAATGAAGCTTCATACTTGATACTTGTCTTTTAATTTTGTCGAATATTACTTATTTGACAGTAATTGTTTCGGACGGATGTCGGACGGAGATCGAGACTAGACCCAGGCTTGAATTTGGTCTACGCGACGGCCGGGCGGCGACCGCGCTATTGTATTATTCAGAGGAATTTAAATGTTATTGCCTAGTAAATACAATTCAGATTCGCCATTCCGCCGGCGCAAGAACTTTCTCCTGATAATCTAGGCACTTCTACCACGGCTTCAAAGTATTGACGTCATTGGGCGTTATTGACACTAAATAGCTTGGTATAAAAACAAAAACAACTCGCAACGAGCAAAATATTTTGCAAATAATTTGCCTTTAGTTGTTGCGTGTCGGACTAGTATATGTTTTTTCATGTTGTGTGAAGTCGTACCTTGATACATTCGTTTTTACCGAAAACTGAAAGCCTGGAAGACTTCAAAAATACTGCGATCAGAGCCAATATTATATATACTTACACTGAACCTTATTAAATACTTACCCCCATCTCAAATTGGCTGCTATTCGCCGCCTTCTCTTTTCAGCAGCTCGTCTATAATGATCATACAAAATTTCGATTATTTTATATAATTTAACAATAAAGGACCGAGAAAAATACACATACCGACATATCTTCCTCTTACAATACTTGTTCCTGCATACCCTACAAAACAAACAACCACAGTTAATGAAAACTATGACCAACAAAAAAATTTATTGATCAAATGCTTAAGAACACTTTATGAATCTAAACGTTACTTACCCTCCCTTGTGACATGGTTTTTTCCTTCTTCTGTAACCAAATAATAAAAGAATACTGATGACTCTATTAGACACCACAACTTTCTATTTATAATTTACATTCTACTAAAATGTCAACCATAGTACTACAAATACAAGTAGTCGCAGGCACAGGCAAGTGGTAAGCGACACGTCTATCCATAGCAGTTGCAGTGACACGTAGAGCTTTGATGTAGATGCTATATGTGACCAATTTAGACAAGTTGGCGGATGCGGACAGCGTCTTGGTCTTTCCTCTATTAAGGGAAGCCAAGATGCTATATAGATTGGCGGAGAAGCTCGAAGTTAAGGCAACTATAGCCCGCTTCAATCATAATTATATGTATAGAGCGGCGTAGTCGCATGTTGTGACAAAGCTCTTTAAATAAAGAAAAAAATGCTCACATTACCGCTTGGCGGCAGAAATAGGTAGGGTGGCAGTACTTCCTTGGACGAACTCTTTCACAAGGAGCCCTATTACTATTAAATATAGTTATTTTATGCTTAGATTAAACAATTTTTAAGCTGAGAAATCATTGTTGTCTAGTCCTTTCGCCACCAATAGATACCTATTGGTATTAAAAAAAACTAATTAAGGAAGCTTACCTCAACCCAGGTATTTTGCGGGATCCTGGCAAAGCCGATACAGGGACGAAATCCTTATCCATATTAATTACGATGCCGCTATGTGGTCTAAATACCCTGAAATAAAAAGGTTACCAATTGTAGAGTTTATTTCAAATATTTTGAATGTACGGATGCACTATTATGTATAGTAGCAAAATTACTAAAAGCATCTCTATAAACAATCATTGATAACTCATATTTGGACGTAGTTAGCAAAAAGGATCTAATCCACAAAATTATCAAAAAATTAATTATATGTACCAAACGGTTCCTAAAGTTTAACGTCTTCGATCAGCAAAAGAAATCCAACATATAAAAACATAAATAAATATCTCTGGAGTTACATGACATTGTAAGTTTTGAAAATAAAACAAGAGTGAGAAAGACTTTTAAATTTCAAACTGCCACATCTCGAATTTGACTGGATGTGCATTGGATCCTTTTTGTTTAACACGTCCATGTATTCTGTAAATTTAAAGTAATACAATTGCCCTATAGTACCTACCAATAACCCTAACCATTAAGTGGCGAAGGTACATATTGTAAGGAAACCAGCAAGTCGGAGATAATTTACAACTCTTCGAAGACATGTGAAAACTGTCACGGTAGACTAATTTTACCCCCTTAATTAGAGGACACCAAACTCTTTGTTCTGTTACTTTATAGGAAGATAAGCTTACTGATGTCCAGATGCAGAGGGCATAGGCGGCCTCACTTCATAAGGTTTGACTTCAGCGTACTTTGCTGACAACACCTCTCCACTGGTCTTTGGACTTGGCAACTAAACAGTCATTTACAAACAACAATCAATCAAAGAAATTCAAATCTGTGTAATGGTGTATTTCCACCAATGAGGCGAGACGATTATTAAAACTTGTATGGCAAAATATCAATTCTCTCCTAGCGCATCTTAGGTGGAAACGGTCGGGATTGACGAGGACGGGCGACACGACATTTGAAATATTTGTTGATGTAACATTGAACCGTATTGCTGCCAACACAGACTCTTTATTAACTCTGCAACGGAAACACGATTCACGATGTTTCGTACGATATCTCGCTAGCTTGCGCGAGATCGTGGGATACAGTCGCCATTGAAATGTAAACGTTCACACATTTTCGAAATTATGTAAATATTAGATATTTCAAAAAATGTACCCTGTGCTGTTTTCAAAAATATGTAATCACGACACCATTTTAAAAAGGTATACTTTTATTTCAGAGAAAAATAAACAAACTACAGTCAATGAAAAATATATAGTCCTAGTGTCATAGTGAATCCATACCATTTTCGTGAATATTTTATTTTTTTATTTTATTTATTAGGTTCATCAACAGTTTTTACATCAAATAACATGTTACACAATTTGTTATTAGTTATTATGCCAAGATGCACAACTAGTGACAGATGAAACACAATTTGCATTGAGCAGATTAGTCTTAATATTTAAGTGCTATGAAATCCAATACAATTACAAAAGAAACAGAAAACAATACAGATGATTGATAGATAAAAAACATGAAATCAATAATAATACTTATAGATAAGATGTTTACATGCTAATTATTGCTCTACGGAGACCAGATAGCTAGTCCGAGAACATATCCACTGTGGCACTGTGCTCATTGTCACCAGTCTAGACAGACGGCGCAGACTGGTGAGTTCAGACCATAGATGTAGAAAAAAAGGGGAGATATGTCATTACATAACGCTATGTAAGATCGGGTACCGATGTCGCCACTTTTTAACTTGTGTGCAATTCAAACTTTACGTTTTATTATCTACTACCATAACTTAAAGATTTTGATTGGTTAGGGCTTAAAACGCGAAAACGACGTCACAATTTTAAAATTTAACAAAATTAAACTTACAGTCACTTGAGTAAGAGTTATATTACAATATTTCAGTATTTTTTCGTCCTGGCTCAGCCATTCACCATCAGGTGGCGTTTTAGTAAAAATGCTACAAGTATATAATAGCTAATTATTACACGTTAGATGGCGCTGAAACTCATTTTTCGTTACACTAAGAACTCGCGGAGCGGTTTTCAACCGCGTCTGCCGCGGGACCGCGGCATCTGTAGAGTGTAATAGTTAAGTATGTAAAATTAGTAGCACATTTCACAGCGCGTTTTACGCCTGTAGTGGTGAGGGTAGCTCGCGGTTGCCGCTGCGGGGTACTAGTAGAACCGCGCAGGACGCGATCACCTGCGCGCTTGGCGGCTGTCGTCGCCAGCGCACTTTGGCGGTCGGTTCAGGCGCAATGTGGTGCAGACGCACGCGGGGTGAATAAAGATGTTGAATAAAGATCCATGAACATATGTTGCATGGGTTTAGTTGGTGTTTCAGTTATAATAATAACAATAATAAGTAACAAAAAAAAAAAATAATAATGGTGGTCTTAGAGGGTTCCGTTCGTATTTGGCTTTCAAGCATGTATCACATTTGTTGACGAATGCTTGCTTGCTTGCTTTACTATTTCCTTTTCTGTGTTGTTGACTGGTATGAATACATCTTTAATGACTACTTTAGAGTTAGTTGATCTGTTCTCAACTCTGTACGTTAAACCGGGGGTTGATCTAACATAAAATTGTTTTTGTTGTCGTTCAATTGCGTCTTCAATAATGGGAATACCATTGTTTTCGTTATCTTGTTGGGAATGATTAGTGGAGACTAACTGATTTGGATCTAACGACATTATGCTGTCTGAATTGGCATCTATTTCAGGTGTGAGTGCAGTACCTATTGGATTCTGTGAGTCCATGTTAGGGTTTTGTGTTTGTCAGTTGGTGTTTTTAGGTTGAGTTACAGCTTCTCTACGCACACTGTCAAATATTCTGTCAATGATTTCGTCATCGTCATTGTCGTCAAAATTTACAGCAAGGGATTCAATACTATTGTGGAAAATCTTTGCTCTTGATAATGCATCGGCGTTGGTATTCTGTTTTCCGTTTTGTAGATAATTATATACTCATATTCCGCCAACTTTAATCGCCATCTCGTCAATTTAGAATTTGGGTCCTTGAGTGACATTAACCAAGTCAAAGGTCAGCATAGATAGTGAATTTACGACCGTATAAGTATGGTCGGAAATATTTGAACGCCCATACTATCGCTAGTAGCTCTTTCTCGATCGTTGAGTAACGAGTTTCTGTTTCAGAGAGAGTTCACGAAGCGTATGCCACGGGTTTGTGTGAACCTAGCTTACCTTGGGAAAGTACTGCTCCTACAGCAAAGTCTGAAACATCTGTGGTAAGTATAAATTCTTTGTCAAAGTCGGGGAACTGTAAGATGGAGTCGTCACTCAGTATCTGTTTGCAATTATTAAAAGCGTTTAAAAATTCAGAGGTGTGAGTGACTTTACAGTTTTTCTTCAGACATGCGGTCATGGGTTTGGTAAGTTTGGCAGTCTTTGATGAATTGTCGGTAGTAGCCTACAAGGCCAAGGAAAGTTGGGTCTTTCTGGGTCTTGGGAAGCGGGAAATTTAGTACGGCTTTTATTTTATCTTTGTTGGGTTTCAGGCCATCACGAGTTAACTCATGGCCTAGGAATTGACATGTTTCTGTAAGAATTCTGACTTAACCAACTGAACTTTTAGGTTGTGGACCTTAAAACGGTCAAAAACTTGTTTGAGCTTGGTGATATGCTCTTGTAAGGACGTGGAGACGATGATTAGGTCATCTAGATAAGTGAACACATTTTCTAAACTGCGTAAAATATGATCCATTAGCCTCTGAAATGTGCTAGGGGCGTTTTTGAGCCCAAAGGGCATTCTCAAGAATTCATAGTGCCCTCTTTCGGTTGAAAAGGCTGTTTTTTCTATGTCTCGGGGGCGCATCTCTACTTGGTGATATCCACTCGCCAAATCGAGCGTAGTAAAGTATTGTGCACGTCCTAATATGTCCAGAATGTCATTAATGTTAGGTAGTGGGTATGTGTCCTCTATAATGCGGTCGTTCAGTCTTCTAAAGTCAATAACGAAACGCCATTTCATCTTGCCTGAAGCAGCTGGTTTCTGAGGGACCACGTGAACAGGGCATGACCACGGAGAGACGCTCTCGCGGATAATACCTTGTTTCAGTAAGTTATCCATTTGGGATTTTATTTCTTCTCGCTGTTGCGGAGCCTGCCTATAGCTTCGAACGAAAATGGGGGTGTCGTCTGTCAACCTTAACTCATGTTTAACTGCGTGTGTAAATGTTAGTGGAATGTTCTCAGAGTAAAAGATATCTCTATATTGAAAACATATTCTGTTTATTTCTCATTTCTTTTCTTCGTTCATATGTTCGGTCCTAACTTTCTTTAAGTTTTCGCGCAGCTCTATCTATATCTGTGGTAATCTCTATTGAATTTACTGATGCTTGTATGTTAGGCTCTAAGTTGATTGGCTCTTTGGTAGAGACAGTTTTCTTTTCGTTGTTAAAGTTCATGACTGATGTTACAAATGAACCATTAATTACGTTTACGATTGCAGCGGGAGATATTATTCTTTCGGCCCACGTATGGTCTGCATGAACGTATTGGCCATCTAAAAAGTTGGTTTTAATTCGTACTAATTTGGAACACAATGGTTCAACTCGAAATTTCTTATTTGGATAATCGAATCGAATGGGAATCTCTGCGGAAGCTGTGTGTAATAACGTACGTTTTAAATCAATATTACTACCTAGGCTTTTCAGTAGGTCTAACCCAATAAGACCTTTGTATTTCGGGTCGAACTCGAAGATGAGAAACTTGTGAGTTATGTCACAGTTAAAGACCGGTGGTAGTGGTAAGTGTGCAACATGTGAGTGTTGTGTTACTCCGTAAGCGGTCTTTACTTCGAAGGGGTCATAATCAACACAATAGAAGTGAATTACTTTGTATGACTTCTGGGGAAATCATTGAACATGAGGCACCTGTATCAATGAGAAACTTACCTTGAAATTCGGGGATCTCTATGTACGGAAGATGGTCTTTATCCTGGTGGTTGAGCTTTATCGACTCTGGTCGTCTGGGTACTGGTCCTGACAAATCCTGAGGTGTACTTACCTGTTACTCGTCCTCGTCCGCGGACGGGTAGAACATGGCGTGTGCATTTAGACAAGGGGAATAATCAGCTGGTGGGGCTCATATAACTGTGGATTCACATTACCGTCATTGTAGAATAATTCCTGGACAGCGAACTGCGGCGGCGTCGATTTGTTAACTGATCGCATGGTGACATCATAGACATTTAGAGGCGGTTGGTTACCAGTTGATTAGGCATGTTCGGCTGCCTTTGGAAGTTATTGTTTCTGAAGTTTTCTGAATTCCTAAATGTGTTTTGGGTAGGTCTGTTTTTCCATGGTGGCACGGAATTTACAAACTGTTGTCTTTGCTCGGGGGTCCAATTATTACGTTGGGGAACAAAATTGCTTTGAGGAATAAAACTTATCGGACTATTAAAGGATTTGTTATCAATTGCACGTGGATCAGATCGCGGTTTATTTTGAGAGCCAGAAGGGCTATTAAAGTTAGGATTCTGCCTGTAATTTGCTTTGGCTTCCTCCTGTCGTGCTGTCACTATAGCAAGTTTTAAAGTATTGCAATTTTTGCCCCTAGTGATACATGGAAGTCAAGTTGTTGAACATAGTGTTCTATTGCTATTTTTTCATAGTACGTTTTGTCCGTATGCTGACCTACTAGATATAGGATATCTAACAATTCACGGAACCGTTTTCCGTACGTCTCCGCGTCTTCAGATTTATTTCGGCGGGTACGTGTGGGATCCAGCATTACCTGGATTTCATTTCTAGGCTCACCTAGGCGCCTTCGTAGGGCTGCTTTAATTTCGTCCCAGTAGTTCGCAGAACCTTCATACGATATGGCATCTTCATCTCATGGCGCAGGCCATAGTCTACGCACCAGTCTCGCCTTTTGGGCGTGTAAATGATATCAGACTGTCTACTTCCCGGATATAGAAATTTAGTCTTTTAGGATTGCCGTCCTATCTCGGCATTACGTCGGAGATCATTTTGTAATCTGCTTCGAACTCCATTTTCTTTTCATAACACACCTAAATACGTACTTTACTAAATCACTTGGTTTAAAAGTGATGTTTATAATCTATAGCCATGTAAGCACACAGACAGACAGACGTGAAATCACACTTATCACTAAATACGATAGGAAATAGAGCAAGGAATGTACTAGGAAGAGTATGAGCACTCACTAATACAGCCGCTGCATTGTCTGCTCGGGTCTTGTAGGTACAGGCCTCCAATTCTCCAGAGTCCCGCGGGTTCAGTCGTCCTAGTTACACCGTCGTTACTAATCTTGATGGGATATCGCGGATAAACGATTGGCACCGTTCACTCTAGTTCGCACAAAGAGTTCTATTCACGCGAATACTTTTGTTTAGAAAAGTCTAAAGGTCAGGCCACACAGACGCGGTATAGCGGGAAAAGCGTTTCGGGGGCGGACCTGCGGGAAGCGAATGCGTGCCGGGGCATGCCACACAGCAATCCCGAGTGTAGTTCGTGACGGGACAGCGGCACGAAGGCGGCCGGTGTGACACCAAAAGCGTCACGCCACATTTCATTTTCAACACAAATAATGAAAGGTCCATGTCACTATCGGATAGTGATGTAGAAGAACTTCTTTAAACTTTTGTATGGGGTGTTAGTTACCTTGAAAAAAAATCTGCTAAAAATTTCAAGAAAAAATTAAATACATATTTTTTTAGTGCTGAAACTAGACTTTACTAGAGTAATTCGGGCTTTCTTTGGCATTGTGCTCATTAGCTGGGCTGTTTCGGGTTACCGTTACAAAAACTAGAACAGCAAAATTAGCAAATTTGTAATTGTAGTACTTAAAAATGGGGTACAGGGCGTACATTTTCAACGTTTTTCATTAAAATGCTTATATTACAAAAAGAAAATGACTCCGATTTTTTAAATATTTTTTTCTGGGTAGTTACAAACTAGGCAACATTCTGTTCCCAGGTTATCGTTGAGTTTTGGGACACTCTGTATACTTACTTTGAAGGTTTTGAATCAAACTATTCATATGAACAGAAATTGTTTATTTAAAAACATTTAAAAAATTCTATAATCTTAACACAATTAACTTGAAACTATTTTTTCAGTGAGACTCACTGGGCATTTTCATTATAACAAATAATAGGTATATAAGATTTATAGAATCAACAATAATAATTGCATTTAACTACTGTACCTACTTACTTTATTATTAACAATCTATATACGTAATTAACTTGAAACTTCTTTTTCTATCAGTCCAAATGGGCATTTTTATTTTAATAAATAATAAGTACCTATCTAAGATTTGTATAACACCAACTATTTTGTTTAAGTTATGTATCTACATAAGTGCATTATTTTGAACAATCTTAACATAGTTAACTTGAAACTTCTTTTTCTATCTGTCTCACTGAGCATTTTTATTTTGACAAATTATTTGTCATCTGATTATTTTGAATTGCAATTGAAATTAACTTGAAACTTCTTTTTGTAGCAGTCTCACTGGGCGTTTTTATTTTAACTAATAATATGTATCTATCTAAGATTTATGTAACAACAATTGTATTTAACTTATGTACCTACTTATATTATTTTGAGCAATTTTAACATAGTTAACTTAAAACTTCTATTTCTAACAAACTCGCTGGGCATTTTTATTTTAACAAATAATTAATAGGTCCCTATCGAAAGTTACATTATTATGAACAATCAACAATCTTAACACAATTAATTCAAACTTCTTTTACTATCAGTCTAATGCTGGCTTCCTACGGCCCATGATTTTTTATTTTAACAAATAACAGGCATCTAAGATTTGTAGAATCAACAACAATTCTATTTAATTTTATGTACCTACTTAAATTATTACGAACAATGCATAATTGCAATTATACTTAACTTATATACCTACTTATACACTCGGGAGCAATGAATCCGAGTCACTAACATAAAAATCAACATCTCAGAACTAACAATGCAAACTTATTCAAACAAAAAGTGTTTTGTAGACCATTCAATACTCTAATAAAAATTATAAAACTCCTTGGTTGCTACTTATTAAACTTAACTGTTTATTTATTTAACTTTTTATTTATTAAATTAGCATTCATCATTTCTTATTACATTTTTTATGTTATCACAGCATTAATTCAGTACCATACCTTTTGGAATTACCCTGTGTAGTTTAGTCATCAACTATATTACAGGTACCATAATGGGAAACACAAGTCTTCAGGAATTAGTTGCAATGAAACTGGGATACTTTTTTGATCGTTATTACTTGTTGTGCTAATTACGGTAAATTAAGGAGATTGTACCGGTGCTACTGAAATTTGATTTTCTTCTAGGTCGTTCAGTTCAGCTTCTGTAAAAATGTGTGCAAGTTTCAATTTGATTTCGGCTTGAATTGTGGGTTTCAGTTTTTTAAATGTTTCTGCATAACTAATGAACAGATAATCTAGATAAAAAGAGGTATCTCACAGTTGATTGTTATTGATGGAGGGAGACGTTTTCCACAACGTATTCGGCCAGCTAACACAGAAATGGCAAGTCTATAGACGTTTCATGCAATATGATATTGAAACGACAATAGAAGTTGTCAAAGTCACGTGTTGTTTACACAATTTCATTAAAGTAAGAACGGTAACAATGTGGTTCAACAGAGCGATTCTCGACCAGTTGAGGCCAATGAACTACTTCCAATTCGTACAAATCAAAGATCGTCTGATTATGCAATTGAAATCAGAGAAAAATTTGGCAATTATTTTAATAATAATTAAAAACATAAAAAATAAAATATACTCACGATCTTGATTTAGCTCCTCGGAATTGTTTCCCAAATAATTTCTATGTTTTTATAATTTCTATCACTTGTATTAAATAAACTGGGGTATGATTGCACCAATGATATAAGTTTTTCCGTCGAATTCATCTTGAAACTTGATTAAAATCAATTAAAACACATTCCCTAGTTGTAAAAAAATACAACGTCCAAGCCCGCTGAAGCCCCGCTCCCGGATCGCGCCCCGCCACTGACGCGCTGTGTGAACGGTTGCATAGAACTCAATGTATTACAACACCCGCGACCGCACCCGCCCCGCGGACGCCGCGGCCGCGGCCCGCGCCCGCTCTGCCTGTTTGTCATGGCGTGCGGCCCCGCACCGCGCCGCCTCGCCCCGCGGCCGCCGCGCCTTTCAGTGTGGCAGGGTTCATAAGAACTGGTACATTACAAAAAATCCCGCGCCCGGAACGCTTCCGCGGCCGCCTCTGTGTGGCCAGAGCATAAGTGCCGCGATCCTACCGACTGCGCCACTTATGTAGTGACAGCGGAAAAGGACGTTTTAAAAAAAGAATTGATTATTACAATAAAAGTCGTTTAATTCGGATCAAAAACCTTACAAGACTAAAGTACAAAAAAAATACAATGAAAAGTAGAAAAGCATTACGTTATATAAATCTAAATAGTAAGCTAATTCGCCGTAGGTGAGAGTCAGCATTTACCAGGTTTTACGCCATGGTAACTCCTCCCTTCTTCAGATAGAACTGCGTCCTGCTAGTTCCTTCTGGTCCTCCAGGTGGGTCCGGCGGAATATCGGTAGTTTTCCCTTTTGTAAACCACTTGTATGATTTCCAGCATAATATGCCGAGCAACAAACAACGAACAAACAGCTTATATTACAACATGATTATTTCTTCTTACAGTATCTTCATCTGATTCTTCTTCCGTTAACATATTTAATAATAAGAATTTGCTGGACGTGGTACTTTAGCGGCGTGTTTATGGCTTAACGAATTGAACAGCACTGTGTCTTCACTATCCATAACCCTAGCGCGAAATCGCGAATGCTTGCCTGAGTTTGCGATGACAATTTTTGGTGGAAATAGGTCGGCGAAATTTAGATTCTCGCCTCGCCTCGCCTCGTTAGTGGAAAAGCACTTTAAAACAGGTTTAAAGGATTCTATTTGTTAATACTAAACCGTCGGTGTGTGTGACAAAATAAACGGAGTGCTCCGGATACACCTTACTAACCTAACATTATTGACAAAGCAAATTAAGTGGTTCATTCCCACAAGTTGTATTAAGTAGTACTATTATAGAACTACTGGGACAAAAAGTCCCAGCAGTTCTATTAAATTACATTTCAATAATTATGGAACTAGTGGGAAAAAATCATTCCCAAGAAGTTACATTGGCTTAGTTCTATTTTATCCCGAAAGTAATAAATAATATCAGGTTAATCATAATAATAATAACAGGATTCTTTTAAGATTATTTTTAACCGACTTAAAAAAAAGAAGGTTTTCAATTCGACTGTACCTTTTTATATGTATGTTGTGTGTATGCGAGGAATTATCGTAACATACATAGTCTAATTAACCGATTCTTAAAACTCATCAAGTATCCAAAACTACATATAATCATAGGAGACCATGGATCTCTCACCCGTTACGCAGGAGCATCAGAAGGAGTGTCAGGACACAAGCCTTCTTCGCCTTCTCCGTTCACATCAATCTCTTCATACATGCCCGTTTATTCTTGGTATTTTAAGGATATCCCCAATCTAATTGAGATATATACGCCGAGGTCTACCTCTCCCCACGCCTCCATCCGCATTCGCTCTATAAATTTATGTCGTCAATCTATCAACATTCATACTTTCTCTACATGTTGAAACCATCGAAGCATCCCCTCTCTATTCTAGTCACTACATCAATAAATTCAAAAACTACTTTTCATCCTTTAAACAAGATACGTACGTTTATAATAGAGGTATCAGAGGGAGAATGCTTGATCAAAGCTGGTGTAATTTTCGAAAAAGTAATGCAGCACGGCTTTTCATCATCATGTAGCATCGATTTCGTACGGCGTCTATCGTCATCCGGAAACTCTTCAAATTTATTCCTATAAAATACAGTAATTCATTAAAATTTTAATTCATAATGTTTATTTCAGTCTGCACAATTAAATATAATGTAGTTTCAAGATTGTAAAACCCGCCTTTGTACTAACTAACAAAGTCAATGTTACTAAATATTAACGACTGAAGTTTTAACTCATATTAAAGAATCATCACCGACACCGTAGGTAGCTATAGCACGCATAATATTTGAAAGTCCAGTCTCCCTTGCATAGTGGAACTCTTATTATGGTTTTTAATAAACCACTTTTTGGGACAATTTACACGTTAAGTAAGAAATAATCATGTTAAAAGACAACGGAAAACGGAACGCATTCAAAGTACGTTTTTTTTGCAATTGAATGTTTATTTTTTTCTAACAAGTCAAATATACAAATCCGTAGGTGCCAAATAGTATTTTTTTTCTAATTTAAAGTCAGTCTCAACGTCAATGTTAAATAAAAAACCAACGACGATACGTTATTTTTAGTATTGACTTGAAAAAAGTAGGAGGTTCTCAATTCGACCGTTTGTTTTGTGTCTGTTACGCAATGACTCCGGTCATTATTTGTGAATGGAATTTGATGATTCTTTTTTTACAGGAAAGAGGGTGCCTCAGTATTGGTCCTATTAAAGTTTGGAAAAAAATATTCCACCTCTAAGGGTGGCAAATCGGGTGTCACGCACTTTCCGGTAACCGAATTCAACAAAATTTAAGGTCGGTTTTTATAGAAAGTTATTAGTATTCTAAAGCAATGTATAAACGTTTAAATCCCAAAATATGGACTTAAGGTCTTTTACCTCACACCCACAGAATTATAATTGTTCTTCACAGTTTTAGTTTTTTAATATTTTAAAAGTTACTAGAGCGTTATTGATTATTGCGTTACCTACATTAAAAAAAAATACCGGGCCTTGCCGTTATTTAGGCGGACGGGACGTAGAAGCAGGGCAGGCGCAGCAGCGACGTTCGCGAGTCGCCTTTTGCCCAATGCGCGGTCCGCTGCAAACGATTTCTAGGATACCCACAGGGTTGTCGTTATAATTATGCCTTACAAATACAACACGCGCGAGCGGGCCTTAGCGTCTCCATATCGGTTTGGTCGCATCGTTCTATCTAACTCTTCCCTCATGTGTTGTTATACACCAAGGAAGCTTATAATAGAAAAAGTAATAGGAACTACCTTAAATGCTTAACACAGCTAATGTTTCTTTAATTTTTATTACTTTATTTCTCTTAATAATAATAACTACATCTCAGATTTTTTCAAAAGCTTACTTGAGTCGAAAATCGAACATAGTAAACATTTAATTCATTATTAAACGGATCTCAACCAAAAGCTTTCTTTCTAAGGAGATTTTATCTCAATCATTGATCACAATAAAACAGCGAATGTTTATTTTTTGCATTTTTAGTTGGTTCGATTCCCGGCTCAAGTAAGTTTTGAAAACATCTATGAATGCAGTTATTCATATCAAGAAAAATTAAATATTTCCTATAAGTAAAATTAACTATTTTAAATAGAATACTACCGTGAGATTCAGACATAACTAACGGATAATTTACGTATTTAGACGAATTTTTGTTGTACATATTTCGAACCAGTCCGTGGTCCTTAATCGCGCGCCAAAGCCCTGACAGCCCGGTCCATAGATCATACACTTATATAGGTCTCTCTGTATGCGAGTGGGCGCAGACGGCGGCGGCGAGGAACTATCCTAGTTTGCTTCATTCTTATTAAAGTGATATGGGGACCTCAGTGGCTCAACGGTTTATATTGTGGGCGCTAGATGAGGAGGTCCCGGGTTCGACTCCCTGTAGAACAAAATACTAATGAAGTTTTCTGGGAAGTGGTCCAAAAATGAATCCCATTGTTCTAGTACTCATAGTACCGGTAATTCCCTAGTTTGAGAACAGGCATTTGGCGCGAATGTCTGGCACATTATTAATTATTTATGTAGGATCCACACTACATTCACCACGTCACATTCTAGTCTCATATCGATAAAGTAGTCGTTCTAAAGTCGATGTCGAAACAACTATAGTTAAAATTAGCTATCTTAAACATTTAAGGTTGGTAAGGTCTTAAACATTGATTTTTCTCACTACGTAGTCTTCTTAGCAAACAATTTCATAGTGCATTCGTGGGAAACCGGTGCGAATCGCTAGTAACCAAAAGTTCTTACCAATGATATTCCCTAGGTTTTGGATATGGATCGCAATGAGTGATGTACCGCAACCTGAAATACAATATGTATATATCTATAACTTCAAAACTTTAAAAATAAAATAATAAATAAATAGTAATAATAAATATAACTTTAAAAATGTTTTCTTGGTAGTCTAATAAGCTAAAACAGAACACTCACACGCATGTTGGCTATTTAGTTTACAATGAGACATACGGGCGTCGATTCGACCTAAAGCAATCTAAACTTCAGTGCTTAAGTTTATAATGACAGCTTTTAACTTTTCTTTTTTTCTTATTGATAAATAATGAAAGAGCCAGATGCTTTGAATTAATTATAGTTTCGGTTCCCTATGCAATGGTTCATTCTTCCTACTAAAGGTTGATCAGATAGTTTTGGCTTCAAAATAGTGAAAGAGTGACAAAAACATGTCAACGTTCACCACAGGTCCAACGCTAATATTTTATTTATTCAAAAAGTACACGTTTAATTATTTTGCACGCAACGCACTAGGTTGTGTGAACTATCACACGTTGAGTGCTCACGACACGCCTGGCGTGCTCACTGCCTTCCTCACGGACTTATGAACACGCTAAGCTTGCTATATTAAGCGCACTGGGCTTACTACAAATAATAAACGGTTCGGTAAACGTTCGGCTATTGGTCTTAGAGTTTGTCATTCCAAGTATTAACCCACTTACCTCGCAAGATTTAATACAGTACCATGTACCTTGGAGATGACACTTACCTAGTATGCATAGAAGGAGTCATAGGTATACAGCCTGTATGAGGAGGCTTGTACTTCCACACCTTCATTTCTGGTACAGTAACCCGACTCTTCCCACGTCTGTTCCTTTCTGTAGTCAAAATATTATTACGTGAATGTCCAAGTATATTTATTTATCTTTATGTAGTATTTACAAAGCACAAATAAATAAATGACATACCAAATATACCTAATATAGAAAATAAAATGGTAAATGTCAAGGTAAAAAATAGATCGTATGATCCAATAGTTTAGGAAACTACACAGAAAGATACGGCTTTCCACAGAACGATGTTGGTCTGACAACTCAGTTGAGACACAAACTGCTCCTTTATATCCTGTGATCCATGGGACCATAGCAACGAAAACATTAGACAGAAACCCCATAGGATTATAGGCATAGGAGCCAAGTGGCGAGAGGGCCTTGTGTCCAGCAGTGCGGCAAAAATTATAATTATCAGTAGTCAGGAACGTTTAATATTTTACGTGAATATTCTTTACTTACTTTCTTCATCGCGCTTAAGTGTCGATACAATGGCGGATATTAATTCGTCTTCGCATGGCCTGAAAACGATATGATCATTAGGAGGCCTTTTCCGGACTGAGCATTGCAGTCTAATGGTCGTATTCTAGAACTCTATCCAATGCTCAAGTCAGGATTGCACTGGCAACACAAGCACTAGAAATACGTCCCTAATGGCAGGGACTTGAGTATGATTTCGAGTGCTTTAAACCATACTCAAATCCTGACTTGAGCATGGAGTAGAGTTCTAGAATACGACCCTCAAATAGTCAAGATGTAGCTACAGCGAAACCTTCTAGCTTCTTGATAGGATGTGTCTACTTTCATAAAAACGAAAGTACACAATATCTTACCGTTTCTGTTTCTTGGGCATTTCGAATAGTTTATACTATGCAATTTTTTTTATATTTTTTTTCTTTACGTTACAAAATAATTTTCATACTTTAGCACTTGATTGGATAAATTTGTTTTGACAGACAATGTCACTATCTCTAAATTTAAAATCGGAAGGATAGTGTAAAATATATCGGATAACCCACTGGCGAAGTTTTTATTCCCAAACAACAACCAAAAATGTTTGAAACTGACTTTAATTTAAAAAAAAAACTTTTTCACAACTAACCTTGATACCATATGATACCAACAAAAGCTTCATGACCCAGTTCAAGAAATCCCCTAGTCCATTTTTTTGGTGTTTCTGAATATTTTACACTCTTTTTATTTCTTTTGTTTTTGAAATGATAATACGAAAACTTAATACCATTGACATTTTTGGTAGGTCAATGATTGGTAGGTCAATGCATAATACGATACACTTTGACGACCGTTATTGTTTCAACGACAAAAAACAACAAGAGTGTACCAAATGTAGCAGTACGCGGTTTCACGAGGAATATATAGAGAATAACTTTCACTTTCTTTTAACAACTCACTGACACATCTGTTATTTTGGTAGCCCATGGTAAGAACCACACTCTTCTTTCAATTTGTAACAAGAAGTCTCTCTCTGCTATTACACTTTCCTTAATTGAAAGAAGTAATACCAATTCTAACACGCAAATCCAGCAACTGTGGTTTTGGAACTGCTTTGGTTAAGACATCAGCCAACTGATGCGTTGAGCCCGTGTTAACAACTGTGAGAGTGCCTTCGTGCACCATTTCTCTAACAAAGAAATGTCTCATGCATATATGTTTTGTCCTTTTGTGAAATTCAGGATTGTGCGCTAATCTAATGGCAGCTTCATTGTCTACTTTCAGTAACGGCAAGTCTCTTATGTCCATTAACGTGTCAAATATCCTTAGAAGCGAAATAAGTTCCCGTGCTGCCTCACTGGCGGCAACAATCTTAGCCTCCGTAGTAGAAATTGCAACTATAGCTTGCCGCTGACTAAGCCACGACACAGCTGCACCAGCGTATAAACATACTACGCCAGAAGTAGATCATCCAGTGGTAGTGTCTCCTTCATAGTCAGCATCGCTATAGCCTAGCAATTGTTTATGTCCATTAGGCCCACTGCTATAAGTGATTCCGAATGAAACTGTTGCTTTGAGGTACCGGAATATTCTTTTAACTTTATTCCAGTCGTCCTTCGTAGGATTTTCCGACTTGCGAGAGATTACACCGATCGCATATGCGATATCAGGACGGGTCCTACCATTACATAGACAAGAGCACCTACTGCTTCTCTGTAAGGAAACTTCTCTTCCTTTGTAGAGGTATCAACTTTCCCTGTTTGAACACTTTCTTTCTCAATCGGTGTTGAAATATGCATTCGGCCATCCCAAAACGTTGTAAAATCTTTTTAACGTACGATTCTTACTTAATCATTATGGATCCATTTTTAGTTCTCTCAATTTCAAGGCCTAAGTAATACGATGCAGGTTTTGTAGTAATCTTGCGTCTGTTTCTAAGATCATTCAAAAAACTGTTCGCTAAATCTACACCCGTAACGGCTATTAAGCCATCTAACGATGGCTATTGTTGACAATGTTATCAAAATTTTTTTGTGACCAATCTTTTTGGTGGATAAGCAATAATCAGCTTCGCTCTGTTCGACACCCACATTTAAGAGAATTTGCTCGAAACACGAATTGCAGCATCTAGGTGCTTGCTTGAGCACATACAAGCTGCGCTTCAGACGACCTACTTTCGTCAACCCATCACTAAAACCATCTAGCTGCTTCATATAAATTTCTTCTCTATGTTCACCATTCAAAAAGGCTGTAGAAACATCAAACTGTACCAAGTGAAGTTTCTCTTGGGCGGTTACACTTAACAGCGCCCTTATCGTTGCTAGCCTTGCAACTGGGCTAAATGTCTGTTTGTAATCTAGACCTTTTCATTATTTAAATCCCTTCACTACTAAGCGCGCTTTATATTTACCAATAGTCCCATCTGGGTTGCTTTTGATTCTAAAAAGCGCTTTCCTATTTTGTGGTAGTTGACACAGAGTGCATATACTGTTCTCTTCCAGCCATCTCATCTCACTCTGCATAGCTTTAAACCATTCATCTTTATAGCTTCTCTGTACGTCTCTGGAAAATTTTCGGAGTTTAAAAAACAGACGAAGTCCTTAAGACGTTCCGGTGGTTTGAGCGTGCCTCTATTTCTCAAATTGTATCCGGGTCTGGCTTCAGATTCGATTACTTCACATTCTTGGGCGTCCAAGAATGGCTCTGCTTCATCGTCATGAACTTGATCTGATGTTACAGCAGATTCATCCACGGGCACTGTTGTATACTCTCCCGCAAGTTCAGATTCACTGAGTCGTTGTTCTAGCAATCCAGGTGGATCTTCTATGTCGTTATTCTGCGAGAGAACGTTATTTGGAAAGATATCTCCCTCTATCTCTTGACCTGTCATTTCTGGAATGACCTCTGCCTCTTTGCTAGGCAAATGTGGAGTCATTTCCCTTGGTAGATCAGCTACCGTCGTTGGAATTATTAACTCCAGTCCTGGACAGAAAATGATGTCTCTGAATTTGCCTGCCTGTTGTCCATCCCAGATGCGGTAGCCATCATCGTTGTCATATCCGATGAGCCTTCCTTTAACAGCTTTCTTATTTAGCTTCTTCCTCTTTTGCTTAGGAACGTGAAAATAGCAATCGCTTTCTATAACACACAAGTGCGAGATCTTGGGCTTCTTCGTATGCCACAACTCAAAAGGTACTTCCCGTCTACCCTTGTGGGTCCCGTACGGTTCAGAACATAAGCAACTGTATTGATCAGCTCTGCCCATAACGCTTGCGGAAACTCTTCTCCAGAATGCATCTACGACCGAGATTTTCTACAAGAATCCCAGCACACCCATTTTGTTCCGGGGTATAAGGCATTGTAAGCCGCTGTACTATCCCGTTTTTGTTCAGTATCTCACGAACGGCTTTATTGTCAAACTCGCCGCCATTATCGCTCAGTAATTTTTTTAGGTCGTGCAAGCGTTCTTACTTTCTTTCAAGAATTGTAATAGTTTATTTTTAACATCACTCTTGTTGCGGATGAAATAAACATGACGAAATGCAGAATAATCGTTTTAAAGAAAACAAAATAGCGATAATTCGAGTAACTTTCCGCGAATGATCCGCATACATCATAGTAGTTAGTAATTATTATTATTAAATATAAATATTTATTTTTGTTGTTGTACATGTTGATCACAATTGATTTTAAATTCATGCTATTTTACTTAATACAATCTATAACAATTCCTATTCTTATGTTAGATTTAATAGACATATAAGGTCTTATTATTTGTATAATATAATCGTAGGTAACGTAACGAGTAACGCAACGTATATACGCTATGCAATGCCGGGATTAAGAAATTGAAGCCGTAAAAAGGTCGCCCCAGGACAGGCTTAGCCAAGTGTGGGACCACCTGTAATGACTCACAATGTTTTCAGGCATGGCATCACGTTAACAATGCATGTTTTTGTTAATATTTAACACACACTTAATGTTCATTTAGCATAAGTATCTTGTTCTTTTCTTAAAAATGTAAATATGTAAAGTATTTTGTTTTTCTGTGTGTTTGTGATGCCAATAAACATATTCTTATTCTTATTACATCAGCATGTATGAGCTTTCCTGCCATAAAAGCTCTATCTCTATTGCCAAATTTCAGCCGTTGTTCTTTTCCATAAATGCAGCCCTCGTACTTTATATCATCCGATTTTAGGTCGACCCCTAGTTCCGTTTTTAGAAGATCCTTAATGTACCTTTGGTTCTAGTGACCGAACCTTTCGTGATATAGCTGGAGCATGCTAGATAACAGCATTTACTTGAATAGGATGCTTTGGTGGGACTGTCTTCAATTGCAACTTATACATATGTACAATCCTCCATCGTAGTTTCTGTTTCCTACGATATAGAACCATCCTACACTCTTTAGTTGTCGATATAAATGTGCTGTTACATAATTTGTCTTGTGCTGCTAAAACTGTAAATAGATTTTTGGTCAATGTCGGCACATACCACACGTTGCTAAGTGTGAGTTTCTTCCGTAGGCATTTGACTCGACCTCCAACGACCCTTTCCCTTTCGCAGGAATGACGGTCCCATTGCCGTCGTGACAGAATGAGTCGAATCAAACTCCTCAAAATCAACGAAAACGTCGCCTTTATTGGTAGCATGTGTTGTTGCTCCATTGCCGACATACCAATTCTCTCTTTCTTCAGAGCAAGTGTAAATCATCAGCGTGATATTTTGAACTTGCTGTTTGATGGACGCCTCTGTAGCCTTTTTCGGTCTGCCATCCTTGTTAACCTTCCTATACTCGCGCCAAATAGTGTAGCACATATACCCGCGCACGGTGTGTGGGACCGAAAGTTCGAGGGTCATTTTAGTATGTTGTTTAGTAAAATATCGTCGTAAAATTAAGTTTAATATTAAAAGGAAATGTGGGAAATTGTATTAAGCAAACTTTTATACAATATATTTTTCTTTTATTAGAGATAAGCAGTCTTTTGTTACAGACATTGGTAAATTACAATATTCACTTAAAACTTTGACAACTATACCCGCGTCGGTCTAAGGGGCCGATCGGTGTCGTGTAGGAGTACACGTGTTGTATGCACCAATACTCTTGTTACGCTGAAATGAAGTTAGCCATGAACCATGCAGCTAGCAGTGAGCCCAAAGCTCTGACGTTTTCCGTTTCAGAAAAAACACGGCAAACCATAATCGGCGGTCTGAGAGACCAATGCGCGGGTATACGAAGGTTAATCCACTTTCTGCAGTTATGGATCCGGTGGCCTTTCTCCGAACAATACCTACATCGCAAATTATCGTCCCTTTTCAGTTTAGTCTGCACCTTTGAAGTTGAGGCGAGCACTCCTTGGGTTTCCTCCTTTTGACCTCCTAGCGCTGTCTCACATAACGCATAACTTTCATTCAAGTTTCACCTCTCATGTTGCTTGTAAGGATGAGCCAGGCAATGCTTTCTATCTTCCTATATTTCAGAAGCTCTGTATTATAGGCGCTCAGTGCAAAGTCACCAGTTCCCAGTGTGGATTTGGCAAGTTTTCCTTCAACTGCCTCCATGGCACCTTCTATGCCTCGCAGCATAGCAATGACCTTGTACTTCCTTGTTGACCAGTTCCTACTGCCTTCAACTTGACCAATATTAAATTTTGAAATAAACTGATCCATGAATTATCAGTATACCTCAACGTAATTGATATAAGTAATTTATTATATTGGGATAGTTGCAATTAGAAATGTAATGGGTTCACATTAGTTAGTCACATTAATATGACTCTGTGTGTTAGTATGTCATTTTAAATAACTAAATTAAATTAAACTTGATTATTTAAATACAATATTGTCATGGGTACAGTCAACAGCGCTTCAGGTTTTTCAGCACATTTATGCAAATATCACGTCTATTGCAATGGAACAGGATCCGTCAATGTGCGGGCTTGATGTGCTTACGGCCCCGTAATAGTGTAATATAGTTAGTGAAGTGTGATTTATAATAACTTACTTTTTTTTCACTTAACTTACCTGCCATTACAAATGTACAATATGATATGCAATAAACAAATAAATAAAAATAATAATTGTGGTAAGAATAGTTAAGATCAAAATAATATTGCGTTTTTAATATTTTATTGCCATAAACTTGTAGTATAATCACTAATAATAATAATACATGTTGGAATGATAAGATACATTATATACCATATACATGTCATAAATGTTTTTTAAACTGTAAATATAAAGTTACGGAAGTACCGAAAATCCAAAAAACAAAAAGATTAAGATAATTCTCTATACAAGATAGACTCAAACATCACAACCAATTACAAGAGTTACTTTATACTATAGATATGCAAAATAAGGCTTTATACTATAAAGATGTTTTACCCTTCCTCCTGAGTAGTTTTGTTTATTGCACCAATTTTCGTACCTCTCGCGCTTAGAACTGTTCTCTAATTATTATTACTCTTAACATAAGCACAATAATTTAATGAAAATAGAACATTACATTTAGAAGACCCAATCAGTAAGACTTGGATCAATATAAACCATCTAAATCTATTTTCCCAAACTGTGTTTAAGGCTCAATTGAGATTTATTTATTTATTTATTTATTTATTTATAGATTGCCCCGGGACAGAAGCGAATTTTTATAATGAAATTGTACACATCATAATGAACTTTATGTATAACGTACGGACAAGATACGAGTCAAAAGACAGATCGCGCATCTTCCAGAGAATTCTCGTGCATTCTCGAGAGTTCCGGAGGCGTCTAACAACTTTCTTTGGCTTCAATACTAGTGGTATTGAAGCCAAGGGGAGGCGCAGTACGGCGTCACGTGTCTACAAAACAGGTATAGTTATAAATCTTTGTAAAATGGAAATATTCGCCAAAAGCTTTTATAAATCATGAACAAATTTATCTTCTTCTGCTTCACAAATAAGCGAAATAATCCAACATCCTTGTCATACAAAAGATCTAGACTAAACTACTGAACATCTACAACAGCCACAAAGTGCAGTCGTGCGAATTCGCTCGTCTACTCACGCAAAAAGGCTAAATTGCCGCTTCAGTTCCATTCCATACCATGGCGATGTAAATTGACCCTAAATTTACAATGTTCTAAATGAACTCGGTGCATCTTAAATATAGTAAACTCCAACAAAAAATTTTACTAACTTTTGTTTCCCTTTGAACTTCCTTACCCTTAACATGTGATAGCATAAAAACAATATACTATTAAAGACATACTATTCAACATCTTAATCAGCTAAACATAGAATTGTGCAGTATCTCAATGTCTTCTTTTCTTTGCTCAGCCCTTTTTTTCTCCTTTTTGAATGCTTCATACGCCTCATCATCTGTAGGAAGCTCGTGGCGACAGAACGGACAAGAATTGGTCTGTAACAATCATAAGTAGAAATGATTAATGCACATTTTATCGGCTCTGTAAATTTTCATGCTTGAACTATTTAACTTTTCAGTGCCTAATGAATACTTGTAGTCATAATTTACAACTGTTTTCAGCTGACATACAAGAAAAAAAAATCAATTTTCATATTTACCCTTTCCAACCAAGTGAGGATGCATGCAGCATGAAATAAATGGTGGCATGGCATCTCTAGAGCTTTTTCACCAATGTTGAAATCCTTAAGACAGATTGGGCAGTTCTTAACATCATTCTCCATAATGAACTCTTGTAAATTTGCTATTGCGTTTTTGGACGCCGGTGGAGGCAATCTGTAATCAATAGACATGTTAATTTAATACTAACTAGAATTAATGTGATGCACTACACAGTTACGAGCTAAAGCAAATTGAAACTAAACACACAGACAAAATAAAACAAAGTGATAAATAAAATTAAGCTATATGATGCTTAAATCATGCCAAATAACCAAAAGTAACAGTGGATCGGAAATAGTGACAAGTCAGGGATGCTACTGACAAAAGCATGGGGTTCAACAAAAAAGAGGTGGTTAGAAGATGTGATGCCTTTGTCCGAAGTAATTAGGAAGGACTGGTTAGATATTGCCTTGGAAGATCTACACCTAAAAGGAAATCAGATTGGCTAATATCAACATTTCTCATAGTATTTTAATTAACAATTATTGTAACCACAATGTGATCTCTATTTATAATTTTATTATAATTAAATACAGTATTAATAACTTTATGATATTATGGCTATTGTATAACCTCCTATGCCTGATCTACAATTATTTGGAAAAGTACCAAAACACCCAATGCATGTACATGAAAATATAGTAAATATAATTACATGCTTCAGGTCCAAGCAACATCCTAAGTTTTAAAAAATGCAACTGAGATTTATTCAAGTATTTTTCTAGGTACTCTATAGACATAATATTAGGATATATAGTGCAAAATTTGAATGCGACATTTTCATTAGTACACTAGGCGTTTACAGAATCATAGAAATAATATTATGAGTCTGAATCACTTCACATTTATGTACACCTAGTACATAGGGATCAAGAACAAAGTACACAAACAATTTTAAACAAGGCAAAAGACGGGTTACTGATGTAAACCTATTGCTAGATTGTTTACAAGAGGCAACTCTCAGATAAACTTAAATAAAAGATATATTCTTAGTTTACTTACCTGGGCCACTGTCCAGAGAAATCTTCGTCATACACACCAACATCCAGCAAGAACCTAGCCATATGCAATAAATGGTTTGGCTGCTCACCATCCCGTAACTCGCTCCAGCCCATCTCCTCAAAATACCCTGCCATTTTACCTACAAAACAGATTTTAAATAGTTCTTCTCCAAATTCAAGTAACAAAATAGTTAAGCTCGCGACTTTTCATGAAAATGTTTCTTTTCTTTTGTACCTTTTCTTACCTTATCTTTCCACCATATAACGTAAATTTTAAATTGAGAAAATTCAGCACAAGCCCATCATCAAAAATTCAAAATAGCGGTATCAATTAAATTAAGAAAGCACGTACTCACAAGACGATTTATTATTTATTTTCTTGAGTGGCGGGCAGCTGAAAAATCACTTGTCATAGTTCTCGAGAGCCAATAATGTACGGCCACAGACTACTTAGATATACAATGTACTCTTTGGGAACTACGTTCAGGACCATGGACTTGTATAAAGTAGTAATGCGTCTCTTTCTAATAGAGTGTTCATTAACACCGCGTTTACACTATCGTCGATTGTTTCGAAACGAAACATTCGTGTTGTTGTTGAAACGCGTTCACACATTCGTGCGATAGGCGATGCGATACACGCACGCATGTCTAAACGGTCCCTTCGCTATTCGCGTCGTGCATCGCATCGCCACTCGTGCGATCGCATTCTTTTATTTTTTTCCATCCTCTAAGGATCGCATCGTGAGCGGTATTTCGAGCACGAGTCAAAGGACATGAGTTTTTTTAAAGGTGTGCTTTTTTTGAGAGAAAAGTATACAAACTACAATCAATGGTAAATATAAAGTCTGATAAACTCTTGGTATTTCATGGCATGTATCCATATTGTTTTCGTAAATATTTATACAATGCCTTTTCATTAAAATGTACACACAAAAAAGGTTATTGTAAATTCTCGGACAACACTCAAACGGGGTAATTGTCACGGCTTTGTATATGAAACTGCACCGCGCACTAAGTTAATAAAACGAGCCGAGAGAGAGGCTTCAAAGCTTTTCAAAGTAGAAATGCGTCTCTTTCATTCATGTTTCAGCCAGCCACGTTGTATTTAACTTTTTTAATTTTTAAAGAAAATGTGGCCGCTTATGGATGACTAAAACTACTAATATTATTTCATAATTTAAATTAGTATACTTATTTGATATGCTACTTCATAATAGAAGGTTTCATTGTTGATATATTATTTTTGTATTATTACAGTAAAAGCATATTACCTTTAAGCTAATTTTATTTAAGCAAAATTAAAAAAGTTAATACACTAGACACTACCTAAGATGATTTTAATTAGCCTTGGCAACTTGTTAGACAAGGACAGACCACTACTTCGAGCTATCTCACGTAGCTTGGTTTTTATATTTATTTAAAATAAACCTTAACATAACCCAATAAGGTGTAAGTTTGTAATATTGGTATATCGAAGTGCGCGATAAACTGGTTTATGAAATATATAAATCCGTGGTAATTATATTAGGTGTCAACTTAGAATAATAACGCATAGAATGATAGTTTCATATCAAACGAACTGTCACAAGTGAGGCAAAAACCAAATTCATGTAGGCGTAAGCAACTTGTAACTACGCTCGTCGGCACGCACACAAATATACAAATAATGATCCCATGGAATAACATTTCCCTCAAAAGTGGGGAAATTGTATCTTGCTTAACTCATCATTAAGTTAAAGGTGCCTACAGATTTGCCCGACATTGTCGATCAGGTGCCTACAGATGTGCTCGATTTTGTCGATCGTTACTGTCGATCGACAATGTCGATCAGGTGCCTACAGATATGCTCGGTTTTGTCGATGAAAAACGAATATAGCACTTATTTGTAAATCCAAGATGGCGGACACGATTTTTCAAAATATGCTATATGGGTATCCTTTTCGAGGTATTTGGGGATGCTCATTACGAATATGGCACTCATTTCTAAATCCAAGGACAAAGAAATAGCGATGAAGAAAGTTAGAACTATATTCCTTAACGGAAACCAAATTACAAAAGACTTTATCCTGAAAATTCCACTAATTACGAATTCAAAGTTTTTGTTCAAAGTGATAGAAGATAATGTGATCTACTTAGAATAATAACGCATAGAATGATAGTTTCATATCAAACGAACTGTCACAAGTGAGGCAAAAATCGAATTCATATAGGCGTAAGCAACTTGTATCTACGCTCGTCGGCACGCACACAACTATACAAATAATGATGCCATGGAATAAAATTTCCCTCAAAACTGGGGAAATTGTATCTCGCTTAACTCATCATTAAGTTAAAGGTGCCTACAGATTTGTCCGACATTGTCGATCAGGCGCCTACAAATTTGCTCGATTTTGTCGAATATACTGTCGATCGACAGTGTCCATCAGGTGCCTACAGATATGCTTGGTTTTGTTGATTGTTACTGTCGATCGACAATGTCAAGTGACAAGAATTTTCAAAAATTTATTTTTGGTAATCCTTATGGAAATGGCATTTATATCTGAATACACGATGACGGACACGACTTTCCAAATAAATGCAACATGGGAATTATTTTCGAGGTATTCGAGGTGCTCATTACGAATATGGCATTCATTTCTAAATCCAAGATGGCCGGCACGATTTTTCGAATAATGGCAAGTTGGGTATCGTTTTCAAGGTATTTGGGGGTGCTCATTACGAATATAGCATTTATTTCTAAATCCAAGATGGCGGACACGAGTTTGCGAATAAATGCAATATGGATATCATTTTCGAGGTATTTGGGGG